AGTGATGTCACCCGTGCGGGAGATCTAGATTGGGCGCCTGGTTCCTGGCATCCATCCCCCAGCCATTGTGAGCATCAGGATAGCAAGCCAGCAGATGGCAACTCTTCCCTTCTCCTTCCCTCCTTCTCCCTTTCAAACAGAAAATGATGATTTTAAGAAAAATCAACTCATAGAGCTGTTTATAAAATTATTACCTGGGTTGCCTTGTACCGCAAGTGTTACACTGCTGGGAGAGAACCAGCCAATAGCTAGCAGGCATCCTGGGCCTGGTTAATGCCAAATCTGTGTTAACTATGCCAATGTGTCAACATAGTTGTCTTTTTTAAATGATATGTGGGAAGGGCAGGGTATGCCAGGCGGGGAGGCTGCAGATCGCCCTGGGAACAGGGTCTAGGGAAGTATTGGAATGGGAGTGGCTGAGGGCCTGCTTGATTGGGGAGGAATGACTTCTGGGGTCTGCCACAGACTGGACCACTGCACTTTCAGGTAGTTGGGGGAGTTGAGACACATTGGTTTAAAGAGGGGAAACCAGAGGGCATTTTTTGGGTCAGGCCAAGGCACCCATTTACATAGGAGACCTGAGCTGGGCTAAATAGCATTGACCACCGGTACATACAGAAGCTGAGGCTAGGGGGCCAGCCTGGCTGGCCTGGGCTGGGCCACTGTACCCACCCATGTCGGGGCAGGGCATAGGCCTTGTCAGGCAGGGCAGCAGCACCCGCCAGAATGCAAGAGAACTGAATCTGGGGACAGATTCTGTAGGGGACTTGTGGGCTTGCCTTTGTGGGACTGCAGCATCCACAAGTTTGTGTGGAGAGATTGGGGTGGTGATAAGCTGAGCCATGCTGGACCATGGAACTCACCTGATACTTGTGGAATCCAGGGCTGGGAGCGAGCCAGGCTGGGCCAGGCTGTAATCCCTATCAGCAGGGGACGGAAGACAGACCATGACAAGCAGGGCTGTAGCACCTGCTAGCACGTGTGAGGTCTGGAGCTAGGAGTGGGCCTGGCAGAGGAACTTGGTGAACTCTCCTTCTAGGCTACACCTTCCCTTGGGGAGTACAATAGCTAGGACTCAGGGCAGGTCAGGCCAGGTAAGGCTGCAGCACCGCTGGTACTGGCTGGGCTAGGCTACAACACCTGCCAGTGAGAGCTGAGACTACAACTGGGCAGTGGTAGGCTGGGTGAAGCATCTGCCAGCACACACAAGATCCAGGACTGCAAATGGGCATGGTAGGAGAACCTTGGGAACTGCCCTGCTAGGCTGAAGTTCCCACTAGAGAGTGCTAGAGCCAAAGCTAGAGGTAGTCCTGGCTGAGCAAAATTACAGCACTCTACCAGGCCTGCTGCTAGCCCCGGATCTTGTGCCTGCCGGGGCACTGTGCTTCTGTCTGATGTAACTCGCACCCAGTACTAGCACTTGCCAACAGGTACTGCGACCTAGCCCAGCCTGCTCTTCTCCATTCCCTGACCTGGTTCTCAAGAACACCAGCAGGTGCTGGAGCCTGGTCCAATTTGACCTGTCCCCAAACTCAGTCCACACATGCCTATGCCTGTGCAGTGGACAACATGCTCAGATGCATACAAGGGACAGGTCAAGCTTTGCATGTTTATTGCCTGTTCCTGCACTAAGGCGAACTGGTCAGCGTCACGTAACACCCCCAGAACACTCTTCCTCGGATCAGGGTCTCTAAGGTCATCAAATGACCCTCCCCATCCTCAGGTGCTGATGTAGTTTGACAGCAATGACTGACCCCTTCCTCTTCCCTCCTATGGACACAGGAGAAAAAAAATTGAATCATTTATCCCAGCCACCTTTCTCCATACCTTAACCCTCCCCACTCTAATTGGAGACCCACATAGACATGCAAGACGCTTTCTGTAAGAGGCTTGGCTGTCATAGGGTTTGGTATCTCCAAGGATTCAGGAACCAGTCCCCCACAGATACCCAGAGTGACTGTATACGGATTTTACTATGTAGTAACAGTCTTGACAAATACATTATGAGGAAACTGCAAAACAAAACCAGAAGGCAAAACATTTTCCTAACCTTGTGTCTTCCAAAAATTTACTTGTAGAAAACAAACAAACAAAAAAAGAGGGGGCCCCACTCTGATGTAGTAGGCTGTTCCCCAGCATCGCATGGGTGCTGATTTGTGTCCCAGCTGCTCCACTTCCATTGTAGCTCCCTACTTGTAGCCTGGAAAGGCAGCTGAGGGTGGCCTGAGTGCGTGGGCCCTGCACCCACGTGGAAGCCCTGGAGCAGGTTCCCAGCTGCTAGCCTTGGGTGGACTCAGCTCTAGCCATTGCAGCCATCTGGGGAATGAACCTGCAGATAGAAGCTCTCTGTCTCTCCTCTCTGTAAATCTGCCTTTCAAATAAAAATTTTTAAATCTTTAAAAAAAAAAAGATGAGTGTCAGGCTGTGGATGAGTTGGAACCCTTGTGCATTGTTGGTAGGAATGTAAAATGACATAGCCATTATGAAAACTGGTATAGCAAGTACTCAAAAATTAACTCTAGGGATACCAGATGGTATAGCAGTTTCATTTCTGGGTTTGCTCCCAAAAGAACTGAAAACTGGACTTGAGTGGATATCTACACACCAGTATTCATAACCGCATTATTTTCAGTATTTGGAAATAAAGGCAACCCAAATCCATCAGTGGATGAAACTGTGATATGTACATGTCGTTGACATAGAAATTATCTATCACAAAAAGGAGTGCAATTCTTATACATGCTACAAGCATGCACGTGTCTTCAGCAGTTTGTGCCAAGTGCAAAGCCATGTGCAAAGGGACCATTGCACTTGTGTAATTACACTCCTGCCATGCCTGGAATAGGGACTCACACAGACAGGAGTGGGCAATGGGAAAAATGAAGAGTTTCATTTGGGTTCCAGAAACAGGTAATGCGATGCTTCTACAATATGATGAATGGATTTAACGCCACTGAACTGTACACTTAAAAATCAATATGGGATAGACAGCTGGCCTAGCAGGTGAAACATCAGCTGGGATGTTGAGAAGATCTGGGCTGAGTTCATGGCTCCTGGCCTAGGGACGCCACCCCCATCTCCAGCTATTGTGGGCATTTGGGGATGAATCAGTAGGTGGGCACCCTTATTTTCTCTCAAAAATTTGTTTAAGATTAAAATAACTTTTGATAATTTTGTTTTTATTTTCACGTCTTCCAAATAGCTTTTTTCTCTTGTCAAATCCTTCACTGACTTGTAGATCACACAGTAGCATTATTTTACCCAAGAAGCCTTAAAAAAAAAAAGGTTTATTTATTTTTATTGGAAAGGCAGATATACAGAGAGGAGAGACAGAGAGGAAGATCTTCCGTCCGATGATTCACTCCCCAAGTGAGCGCAACGGCCGATGCTATACTGATCCGAAGCCAGGAGCCAGGAATTTCCTCCAGATCCCCCACACGGGTGCAGGGTCCCGAAGCCTTGGGCCGTCCTCGACTGCTTTCCCAGGCCACAGGCAGGGAGCTGGAAGGGAAGCAGGGCCGCTGGGATTAGAACCGGCGCCCATATGGGATCCTGGGCGTGTAAGGCGAGGACTTTAACCACTGTGCCATCACGCTGGGCCCTTTCCTAATATTTTTTTTTAATATTTATTTTTATTGGAAAGTCAGATTTACAGAGAGAAGGAGAGACAGAAGGAAAGATCTTCTGTGCTCTGATTCACTTTCCAAATGCAATGGCCAGAGCTGAGCCAATCTAAGCCAGGAGCATCTTCTGGGTCTCCCAGGTGGGTGCAGGGTCCCAAGGCTTTGGGCCATCCTCGACTGCTTTCCCAGGCCACAGGCAGAGAGGTGGATGGGAAGTGGAGCAGCCAGGATACGAACTGGCGCCCATATGAGATCCCAGTGCATGCAAGGCAAGGACTTCAGCCGCTAGGCTACCACACTGGGCTCCCTAACTTTTATTATTATGTCATTTATGATTTGTTCCCATTTGTTATATTTTAATATTAATAAAGTTATTTGATCTTAACTCAGTTTTCCTAATGTAAATTATTTTTAAATTATTTAAAGTAAATAATTTTTATTAATATCTCAATATATCTATACATAGAAGTACTATACCAAGTTCCACTATAGAAGATATTTTTAAAATTTTTATTTTTAGTCCATTTGAAAATCAGAGAAGAGATAGAGATCTTTCATTTTCTGGTTCGCCCCCAAAATGCATGCAACAACTAGGCTGAAGGCAAGAATCAGAGCTCATCCAAATCTCCCACACACGAGGCAAGAAGCTATATGCTTGAACCATCACGTGCTGCCTCCCAGCACACATGTCAGCCAGAAACTGGAACCAGAAGTAGACCCGGGAGCTGGCACCGTGATGCTGTGAGTTAAGCTACTGCCTACAGTGCCAGCATCCCGTGTGGGCACCAGTTCAAGTCTCAGCTGCTCCACTCTGACCCAGCTCCATGCTAATGGCCTGGGAAACGCCTCACAGAATGGCCCAGATTCTTGGACGCCTGAACTCGTGGGAGATTCAGATGAAGCTTGGCTCCTGGCTTCAGTCTAGCCATTTTGTCCATTTGTGGGATGAACACTGGGTGGAAGATATCTCTTTCTCTAACTCTGACATTTAAATAAATAAATCTTAAAACAAAGGAGGTGGGAGATCAAAAAGACCCAGGATGGAGACCAGGCACTCTGATATGGGATGCCGATGTCCCGCTGACGAAGCTGCTGCGCCCGATCCCCTCCGTCTTCCCAGTTCCTGTAGGGTGTACGATCTAAGGCCTGGTTTATAGGCTGGTGAATATAGGAAACAGAATTTAAACATTAGCAGCTGGGCTCTAAATGCCAGTTCCAAGTGCTAGTCTCTGGAACCCCGCATTGTACCCCAGGTACAGCCCGGGCCCCAGGGCTCTCTGCAGGCCCACATTTTTATTTCCAGTGCAGTGTTGGTGAGAAGCTTTCTTTGTGATAACAAATTTCTGCTTTTTTTTTTTCCCTTCTCTCTCCACGAAGACCTGAGGATGAACTGTTTTTAAAAAGCCTTTCTGAAGGCTACTTAGTGGGAAAGGATCCCAAAGCTCCCCTTTTCTATAGAAAAGAAGGAAACAGAAAATTTGAAGAGAAAGATTTTGCCGGAGCTGCAGTGCTGTACTCTAAGGTAAGAGGCTCCCAGCCCAGCCATTGAATAGAAACAGCTCTGTAGAAGCTAATTCCAGAGCTGGCGTCGTCTCTGTCTCTAGTGTGTGCATTGGGTTTGAAAAAGAAAAACAGCAGCGTTTCTCTCTTGTTTGTATTCCTTTTAATTTTTTTTTATTTTACTGATTTTTTTTCTCTTAAAAAATATTATTTATTTGAAAGAGTTACAGAGAGTTCTTCCATCTACAAGTTCTCTCCCCAGATGGCTACCACAGCCAGGACTGGGCCAGGTTGAAGCCAGGAGCCAGGAGGTTTTTTGAGTCTCCCATGTGTGCAGTGTGGACTCATACACTTGGGTATCTTCTGCTGCTTTTCTCAGGAGCCTTCACAGGGGGCTGAAGTGGAGCAGCTGGGACAGGAGCCAGCACCCGTCATAGGACGCCAGCATCGTAGGCAGCAGCTTCTCTGCCATGCCACATGACCCCGCAACAGGAAAGCAGAACCCAGCCTCCTCTCTGTCTCTTAGCACATGATGTCCCTGTCTGTTCTTTATCAAAAGGAATTCACAGACTTAGAGGGAGTGGTCCAGCTGACCTTATAAGGTTCTAGTCAGAGGACTCAAGGAATTTACACCCCAACTGATCATTCACCTCTCAGTCCCAATTTCAATCTCTGAGCGCCTTCATCCCCAAATCCTCAGGGAGCCCAGGAATTAAGCAATAACTACCCAGCTCCTTGCTCTGCATTTTGCAGTAAATACCTGCCTTTCACCACCACAATTTCAGTGACTGGCTTTCTACCTGTCAATAAGACGGACCCGGCTTGGGGATTCTACAGTGCCTCCAACAAATCTGGGATGTCTTCAGCAACACTTGTATTTTGTTTATTTGAAAGACAAACTTACAAAGAGGGAGAGATGGAAAGAGAGAGAGAGAGAGCTCCCATCTGCTGGCTCATTCCTAAAATGGCTGCAGCCAGAGCCTGATACCCCATTCAGGTCTCACTTGGGTGGCAGTGGCCCAAGTACTTGGGCCATCACTTGCTGTCTTCCCAGGCACAGTAACAGGTTGCTGAATCAGAAATGGAGCAGCCAGGATTCAAACTAGTGTCATATACAATGCCAGCATTTCAGAAAACAGCTTAGTTCCCTGTGCCACAGCAGCAGCAGCCCCAGTTGGGTTTTGAAACAGGGTGCTTGATGTGAACTCTCCCTATTCTGTTCTGTTCTTTCATAACCTTGTACAGGGGCCCGGCACGGTAGCCTAGTGGCAAAAGTCCTCACCTTGAACACGCCAGGATCCCATATGGGCACTGGTTTTAATCCCGGCAGCCCCGCTTCCTATCCAGCTCCCTACTTGTGGCCTGGGAAAGCAGTCGAGGATGGGCCAAAGCCTTGAGATCCTGCACTCGTGTGGAAGACCCGGAAGAGCTCCTGGCTCCTGGCTTCAGATCAGCACAGCTCTGACTGTTGCAGTCACTTGGGGAGTGACTCATCGGACAAAAGATCTTTCTCTCTCTCCTTTCTCTCTCTCTCTCTTGCTCTCTCTGTATATATATATATATATATATATATATATATATATATATATATATATATATATATATACTTCTGACTTTGCAATAGAAATTTTTAAAAAGGACCCTGTACAATGCTTTTCTTACCCCTTATCCACTGCCTTGCTGCTGCCTGCAGCTCTACTGGCAGGATGTGCCTCCTCGTCTAACTCACTGATGAAGCTGTGAGCTTGGTGTTCCTGATCTACACAACAGCTGGATTTTACAGTAATAGCTTTCAGTGAGTCTCGGATCAAATCAGAAAGGAAAATGAGCTTGTTGACCATTGCTTGGGCAAACTAGAGTTTGAAGATTGTCAGTGGAGACAAAGTTAGAGAGACAGAGATCTTCCATCCCTGGTTTATTCCCCAAATGGACACAATCGCTGGGGCAGGGCCAGGCTAAGGCCAGGAGCCAAGAGCTTCTTCCAGGTCTCCCATATGGGTGTAGGCTTCCAAGCACTTGGACCGTCTTCCACTGCTTTCCCAGGTGTAGCAGCAGGGAGCTGAACTGAAGGTGAAACAGCCAAGACTTAAACTGGCAGCATATGGGATGCCGGCATCGTGGCAGTGGCTTTGCCCGTTACACCACAGCACCTGCCCCATGAAAGACAATCCATAAATATTTTTAAATTGTGCTAATAATCTCTGAGCTAGGTCTTGGACAGGAATCATGGCTTTAAAGAACATGTTGGAGCAGATGCTTGGCATAGCAGCCTCACTTACCACTTGCGATACACACATTCCACTCAGAGTGCCTGGGAGCGCTCCAGCTCCGCTTTCTGCTAACACACACTCTGGGGCAGCAGGTCATGGCCCACGTCCTTGGACCCCTGCCACGCAGACAGGAGACCTGGATGGAGCTCCAAGCCCCTGGCTTTGTCTTGGCTCAGCTCTGGCTGCTGAGGGCATTTGGGGCATGAACTAGAAAATGGAAGGTCTGTCTCTGAGCCTCTGCCTTTCAAACAAGCAAGCAAATAATATTTTCTTTTTAAAAAGATATCTTCCCAAAGGAAAAATAAAACAGCCTTTGACTCTGACTCTCCAACTGCCATTAGAAAGTAGAATAATATCTGTTTAAGAGACTTCGTCCCAGGGCCTTCAAGAAATGGATATGGTCTTCAAGTCAAGAATGTGATCTTGACTATTACAAGGGTGAATGGAAACCTGAAGAGTATCTTAAACAGGCCTGTGCTCAAATTTTTGGAGTTAATTTTTCAAAACCTCACAGATCTAGCGACAGCAGCTTTTGCAACTGATAAAATCCCTGCTTTATAGTGTTACAACCAAGTATTTAGCTAAATAGTATAAGCTTTAGTGATTGCTGAAGGATTAAAATCCATTAAATGTAATGATCCAGTGATAAATGGCTAATCTCTTCAACTTTATGCGTGCACATCATAAATGTGATCACAGGAGATGTTGTGCAAGGAAAACAAGCACAATAAAAAGTAAAGTCAGATGAAGAAATTAAGATTTGTGTCCTGGGGACCAGCATGTAGTATAGTGAGTTTGGCTGCTGCCTGTATTCCCTGAGAACACCCGTTTGTATCCCAGCTGCTCCACTTCTTATCCATTTCCCTGTTAATATGCCTGGGACAGCAGCAGAAGATGGTCTAAGTAGTTGGGCTCCTTACTCCCACAGGGGAGACCCAAAAGGAGCTCCTTGCTCGGGCCTGGTTCAGTCCTGTCCATTGTGGCCATTGAGAGAGTCAATCAACAGATTAAAGGTCTCTCTCTCTCTCTCTCTGTCTCTCTGTCTCTCTGTCTCTCTCTCTCACTGTGCTTTTCAAATAAGTGAAATAAAATCGCAGGAAAAAAAAGTATCTGCTGGGGTGGGTGCTGTGACAACGATTGTTGTAGCACCTGCTTCTCATTTCGGAGTGCCTGGGTTCAAGTGCTGGCTTTGCTTTCCCAGCAGCCTCCTGCTCCCAGGCACCCTGGGAGGCCGCACTGAGGGCTGGCACCCAGGGCTCCTGGCTCCTGGCCTCTGGGGAGTGAATCAGGGTTCAGGAGATCTTGCACTGTCGTTGTCTGTACAACATTGCCTTTCAAATAAAGAAATTGCTTTGAGATCTTTCTCTGGGTTTGGAAGCCGATGAGCCTCCCTATTTCATGCTGCTGGTATTTTAATGATTATGATTCTCTGCAATTTTCTGCAAAGCTGCCATTTCCTTAAAAAATATATTTGTTGTGTTTAACTGATTTGGAAAGTCATATGTGTTACTTGGGAAAAGATAGAGAAACATAAAGAATGAAAAAAAAGTCTCATAACCTGTGATAGGCACTGTTAACACTTTTGCTTGTACGCACCAGCCAGGGTTTTTCGGGGGAGGGATGCCTCTGAAAATGCTTTCTGTTTTACAAAATAGGGATAATGCTGCACTTACTGTTTTGTAGCCTACTTTCTCCCTCCTCAACAATTTATTGTGCCCATTTGCTCACGTTATTAAATTTTCCACAGGAACATGATTTTCCACCACTGGCTCAGTGTTCCATTACCGAAGGCACTGTGTTTTGATTTCACATCTATTGTTGGCAATTCGCTTGTTATCATGCTACCAAGCATCTCTCCATGTAAATGTTGGGATACCTGATTCCTTCCATAGGATGAGTTCCTACCATGAACTTCTGGGTCAAAGGGAACAAATTCTTCTTAAGTCCTTTGGTACTGATGCTGGATTTTCTAGGAAAGAACTAACTAACCTCCCTTAAGGCAAAGTGTGAGCATGTTTGTTTCTCCATATCTGAAGCAGACTACTTATTTTAGGACCTTTTTTCTTTTTAAGATTTATATATTTATTTGAAAGGCAGAGTTACAGAGAGCGAAGGAGAACTAGAGAGAGATCTGTCATCCACTGGCTCACTCCCCCACGTGGCCACAACAGCCAAAGCTGGGCTGGTCTGAAACCAGGAACCAGAAGCTTCATCCAGGTCTCCCACAGGAATACAGGTCCCCAAGCAGTTGGGCCAGCCTCTACTGCTTTCCCGGGCGTGTTAGCAGGGAGCTGCAATGGAAGTAGGGCAGCCAGGTGTGGAACTGGCATTGCAAGTGGCAGCTTTACCCACTACATCACAGCATCAGCCTATTTCAGGACTTTTATTTGTATATCTGCTTCTTTTTTTCATAGGACATGTGTTCACATGGTTATATTTCAGAAGTTGTAAGAGGATCCCGTGCCATTCACTTCCCATGCCCCCAGCCACCCTGATTGCTAGCCCAGTGAGCTTGTACTGTTCATTAGGCCTTTCCACAGTACTTGCGGCTGATGCAAAGAAATAATTCCGCACACATTCCAAACATGGTCCACCGCCATGCCCTTTTCACTCAACGAGTTATTTCAAGGTTGTCCCATGGAGGTACACAAAGAACTTCCTCATTCTTCTGCTATTGGATATTCCCTCACTTATTCATTCTTCTACATACTCCTATACATCAACACTTAAGTTGTTGTCTAAATTTTGCTGTTTCAAGCAATTCTACGGCAGCAGCTTAGTAGTGAAAGCATCCATGTCCCACATCCAAGTGCCTGGGGTCCAGTTGTGGCACTTGCCCCGGTCTAGCCCAGTCCTGGCTGTTGCAAGCATTTGTGGAGTGAACCAGCAAGTGGGAACAAACTTGGAAAAAAAATTATACTCCCACTAGTAACATAATGAGAATGTCCATATCCCACCGCCTTGCCGACTCGGTGTGCTATCAATTGTATTTTTCTAGGATGGCCATTGCAATGCAATAGGTTAAGCTGCTATTTGGGAATTCCATGTCCCATACCAGAGTGCTGGTTCCAATCCTGGCTATTTCACTTCCATCCAGCTTCCTGCTAACACATCGAAGGAAGGAGCAGGTGAAAGATCACGTGTTTAGGCCATTGCTATACACAGGGGAGACCGAGTTGGAGTCCTACTTTCCTAGTTTTGGCCTGGCCCAGCCCTGGCTGTTGTGCTGTTGTAGGCATTTTGGGAGTGAACCACTTGATAGAAAAATCTCTTTCCCTCTCTCATGCTCTGCTTTTCAAGCACTTGAAAGAAATTAAAGTAAGCGTTTTAAAAATTTCTATTTGACAATCTGACAGGTTAAAGAAATAACATCACAATACAGTTGGTTTTGTTTATTTGTATCTTTTTAAGATGTATTTATTTGGCCTGGAGCAGTGGCTTAGTGGCTAGAGTCCTTGCCTTGAGTGCACTAGGATCCCATATGGGCTCCAGTTCGTGTCCCAGCTTCCCATCCAGCTCCCTCCTTGTGACCTGGGAAAGCAGTCGAAGACATCCCAGGGCCTTGGTACCCTGCACTCGTGTGAGAGACTCAGAAGATGCTTCTGGCTCCAAATTGGCTCACATCTTAAGATTGTCTCACCTCTGGTCATTGCGGTCACTTGAGGAGTGAATTAATGGACAGAAGATCTTCTCTGTCTCCTCCTCTCTGTGTATCTGAATTTCCAATAAAAATAGACGTATCTTTAAAGAAAAATATATGTCTATTATTTGAAAGACTTACAGAGAGAGGAGAAACAGAGATGGGAACCTTCTGTCTGCTGGTTCACTCCCCAAATGTCTGCAACAGCCAGAGCTGGGTCAGACTGAAACCAGGAACCAGTAGCTTCTTCCAGGTCTCCCATGTGGTTTGGGGGCCAAAGAAGGGTTGTCCTGTGTACTTTCCCAGGCACATTTGCAGGGAGTTGGGTCAGAGCTGGAGCAGCCCAATCCTCAAACAAGCACCCATATGGGATTCTGGCATCATAGATGGAGGCTTAACTTGTGCCATCATCACAACCACCCAGTACAATTTTAGTTTGCTCCTGGCTGATTATAACTGAGTTTGAACATTTCCTCATCTGTTTAAACACCATTTGCATTTCCCTTAAGAACCATCAATATCATTTGCATGTTTTCCTGTTGAATTATTGCTGCTGTCCTGTTCAGTTCCAGGAACTTTTGGTAAAGTAAACAAAGCAGCTCTTGGCCTGTAATATGGGTTGCAAAGATCTTTTTCTGGTTCAATCTTTACCTTTGCTACTGCTTTTACTTTTTTTTCTTTAACTATGAATACATTTTTATTTATTCTATTTGAGAGGCAGATAAAGAAAAAGATAAGCACCCTTCACCCACTTGTTCCATTTCCAGATGCCCACAAGAGCTGGGGCTGCGCCAGGTCAAAGCCAGCAGGCAGGAGCTCAGTCCAAGTGTACCCCCAGTAATAGGCACCCTAGAACCCGGGCTGCCGCTGGGTGCCTCCTAGGGTACCCATCAGTAAGGGACTGAGGAGTACAGCCAGGACCCGAACCCAGACACTCCAGTGTGGGAGGCAGGCATCCTAACCGCTAGGCCAAATGCTCACTCCAGATTTTTATATGTGGTCAATTTTACTTTTTAATCTTTTATAACTTCAGGTTTTGTATCATGCTGAGAAAAAGATTACTTCAGCATTACTTTAGACTGGTCCTGTAGTTTCATTTCCTACTGTTAAGAGTTCAACTTACGGGCCTGGCATCCCTGCTCTTGCACTTTGGGGCCACCATTAAGTAACCCACAAACACTCTCATAGTGCCATAGTTGATCAGATAAGCACAGTAGCTACCAGGTGACTAATAGCAGCATGTACAGTGTAGATCAGCATAGTAGCCTAGTGGCTAAAGTTCTCACCTTGCACATGTCAGGATTCCATATGGGTGCTGGTTCTAGTCCCGGCTGCGCCAGTTCCCATCGAGCTCTCTGCCTGTGTCCTGGGAAAGCAGTCGAGGATGGCCCAAAACCTTGGAACTCGGCACCCACGTGAGAGACCCACAAGAGGCTCCTAGCTCCTGGCTTCAGCTCAGCTCAGCTCAACTCTGACTATAGTGTCCACTTGGGGAGTGATTCAGTGGATGAAAGATCTTTCTCTCTTTAAATCTGACTTTCTAATAAAAATAAATAAAATGTTTCCAAAAGAAAAGAGTTCAACTATTTTTTTGGAATTTATCCAATGGAAGATTTATAGAGCCAACTCAGTTATTTTTTTTTTTCTCACGCCCATCTGCTTGTCCCAGCAGCATGTTGAATAATCCCCATCTTTTCTCCAAAGATTTGATATTCCTCCTTTAAGGTTATTACTAACTCTTGCCGATTTTTTTTTAAGATTTTATTTTATTTTTATTGGAAAGTCAGATTTACAGAGAGGAGGAGAGATAGAGAGGAAGATCTTCCATCTGATGATTCATTCCCCAAGTGAGCGCAACGGCCGATGCTATGCCGGTCCAAAGCCATGAGCCAGGAGCCTCTTCCAGGTCTCCCACAGGGGCACAGAGTCCCAAGGCTTTGGGCTGTCCTTGACTACTTTCCCAGGCCACAATCAGGGAGCTGGATGGGAAGTGGGGCTGCCAGGATTAGAACCGGCGTCCATATGGGATCCCAGTGCATTCAAAGTGAGGCCTTTAGCCGCTAGGCCACGCTGCTGGGCCCACCCTTACCGATTTTATGGTTAAATAATTTTTTAAGAAATTGTCTTACGTTGCTTTCATTGTCACATCTGTGTGTACTCTATGTATAAATTTACTGTTTCTCTTATTATTGATAATGACTTGCATTTTCTGTTTTGTGAGCGTCTGGTTTTGTGTTCCGCCCTTTGGCCAATGTCTGCTGCATCTTGCGTGACCCTCGGTGTTGTTTGCAGAGCACTCAGAATGCTTGTTTCCTCACCTCGTCATCACAGCTTTGCTCTAAACCGCTCACAAGAAGGCTGCTGCAGTTGGGGGAGGCCGAGGGGCCGCTGTTGTCTGGAGGGAGGAGTGTGCTAGAACCGCAGGCTTCCAACCTTCTGCTCGTTGTTTTGCAGGGAGTGTCTCACGCGGGGCCCCACACTGAGGACATGGCACTGTGCTATGGCAATCGCTCTGCAGCCCTCTTCCACCTGGGTCAGTTTGAAGTGAGTATCAAATGCCCGCTGTGCCAGGAGAGGAGCTCTTAACCCCGCTTGCTCCGAACCCCTCAGTGCAGCCGAGCTGCACCAGAAGAACTGAGAGTGCCCTGAGGTCCACCCCCTGTGGGCTTGCTCCTCTCATTCATTCCCCATGTGTCACTGACCACGGCAGCGGTGATGGTCAGCAAGCAGGGTCTGTGGCTCGTTCCCCAGGGGCCTGGGCAGTGTCGGGAGATAGCTGTCACCTGGCTGCTCCTTTGGGTAGCATATGTTGGTAAAACATTGACACGTAGCTCATCCTCAGGCATATAGCCTGTTGAGAATTAGACCTGTAGTCCTCATGGCTCGCCCTCAGTGAACACTGTCAGCAGGAGAGTGAAGCTGTGCCGGGGTGTACGCCTGGGCCTGGGCTTCCTTCTCGTCCCCCAGCTGTGACAGCAGGAAAAACATCGAGCATTGTGTCAGTGACCAATATCAGATTTGTACCTCTGAGTACGAGCTGTAAGGTGCCACTGTGTCCACGTTGGTGAAGACACCGGTCCTATGCAGCATGCATGGCTTCAAGTCCCATCACCACTAACACGCACCCTAGAAAACAGCAGGTGATGGCTCAGGTACTTGAATCCTTGCCATCTGCATGGAGACTTCGATTTACCAACCACCCGTTAAAGGAAAACACCGGCCATACAAACAGGCCTCTATTAAGCAAAGAGAAGTCCATTCCTGGGCACAGCAGAGGAATGAGCAGGAGAGGAAAGCCACACGTGGGTAGTCGAGACAAAGGTTTTATACCCCTTCTGATGTGGGTGCTGGCATCGGCCCTGCTTGGACCCTGAGAGGCCAAGGAATGTTGGCCTTTGCCCATCACTGGCTCGTACGTGGCCTTGGCTGCCAGATCTCTGGCTTAGGTCACTGCGGTGTCCACCCACTTCCTGACACTGACACCACGTTGAGTTCCTGACACCAGGCTTTGGCCTGAGCCAGCTCAAACCATGGCAGACATTTGGGAAATGAATCCGCAGTTTCATTTCCGCATAAAATTGTCTCTGTCTCTCCCTTTCTTTCTCTAAAATAAATAAATATTTTAAAGGCATTATGGGAAATTAACCATAGGCCAATATAACCAGGAAATCCCAGACTAGTAAGGGCAGTGATTGAAAGAATCAGTAAAATATTTATCCTTGTTGGATCCAGCGCAATAGCTTAGTGGCTGAAATCCTCGTCCTGTACACAGTGGGATCCCATATGGGTGCCAGTTCTTTTTTATTATTATTATTGTTGCTATCATTTTATGATACAGTTCCATAGGCCTCACTTGGTGCCAGTTCTAATCCAAACGGCCCTGCTTCCCATCCAGCTTCCTGCTTGTAGCTTAGGAAAGCAGTCGAGAACGGCCCAAAACCTTGGGACCCTGCACCCGCGTGGGAGACCCGGAAGAAGCTCCTGGATCCTGGCTTCGGATTGGCTCAGCTCCAGCCGTTGCACTCACTTGGGGAGTGAACCATCGGACAGAAGATCTTCCTTTCTGTCTCTCCTCCTCTCTGTATATCTGATTTTACAGTAAAAATAAGTAAATCCTTAAAAATATATATTTTTCCTCAACTAGCTTTCCTATATTATTTGTTTTCCTTGGTATAACAATGATTATCATTTATTTATTGAGAGCCTAGTATGTTCAGCACTCTAATTATTTTGTTCTTAAAACACCCCCATGAATATTATCATCCTTTTTTCTCAAATGAGGAAACCAAGATACTGAGAAATTAAACTGCCTGCTTGTGGCCATGCTGCTGTAACAGGCAGGCAGCATTCGGCTTACAAGGCTGGCCTCTGAGTCGCCATGCTATAGTACTTCTGTATCCAAGACTTTTTCCCTGAAAGTAGAAGTGTTTTATAAGAACGATGAAACCTAAGATTTTTTTTTTTTAAGATTTACTTGTTTTTATTGAAAGGCAAATGTGCAGAGAGGATGAGAGACAGAAAGAAAGATCTTCTGTCCAATGGTTCAATCCCCAAGTGAACGCAACGGCCGGAGCTGAGCCAATCCGAAGCCAGGATCCAGGAGCTTCTTCCGGGTCTCCCACGCGGGTGCAGGGTCCCAAGGCTTTGGGCCGTCCTCGACTGCTTTCTTAAGCTACAAACAGGGAGCTGGATGGGAAGCAGGGCCACTGGGATTAGAACTGGCACCCATATGGGATCCTGGGCGTGCAAGGTGAGGACTTTAACCACTATGCTATCACGCTGGGCCCAAAACCTAAGATCTTAAGTATTCCTGACCACTCAACTGCAAGGTCAGAAAATGGGCAGTGATGTAAAGAAAATAAACCTGTGGTTTTGTCACATTTAAAATATATATATATATATTTACCTGACAGGGGAGAGTGCAATCACTCATCTGCTGGTTCACTCCCCAGAAGGCCGCCACAGCCAGGGCCCGCCTCAATTGTCCCGTTTTTAATAATCCCTAACTTACGAGTCTAGCTTTGTGGTGCAGTGGGTTGAGCTTCTGCTTGCAGTGACTGTGTCCTGTATAAGCATCACTTCGAGTCTTAGTTATTCTACTTCTTGTGAGTGTACCTGGAAGGCCGTTGAAGTTGGTCTTAGCGCTTGGACTCCTGTTACCCATGTGGGATTCCTGCCTCCTGACTTTGGCCAGGCCCAGCTGTTGTAACCATTTGGGGAGTCAACCAGAGATTGGAAAATCTTCTCTTCTTTCCCTCTGCAAACCAAAGGCCATTCTGGTTCTCTCCTTTCTGCTTTCAGGCATGTCTTGCAGACATCAGCAGAGCAGAGCTGCACAGATACCCAGAAAGACTGCTGCCCAAGATGCTGCTGCGTAAGGCCGAGTGTCTGTTGGCCCTGGGGAGACTGCAAGAGGCAAGCCTGACCATCGCTGCCCTTGAAAGTCACCTCGCTGCCCAGCCAAACCTAGCGCCTTCCTGCCGTCGGGCTGTGCAGAGCGATCTGTATGGTCTGAAACTGAGGGTCCGAAACTGGGAGACCTTCCCAGAAACCGCCCCAGCAGCCCCGGCCCGCGCTGTGGAAGACACAGAGCTCCTGGAACAGAGCAAGCAGCTGCCCGGCGCATCGTCGTCCGTCCGCCTGGACATAGACCCTGTGAAAGGCCGCTGCTTGGTGGCCACAAGAGACATCCTCCCAGGAGAGCTCCTGCTGAAGGAGGACGCCTTTGTTAGTGTCTTGATTCCCGGAGAAGAGCCACCCCTACGCTGCGGCCTGGGAAGCAGGTGGGATGCCGGCATTTCCACTGGGGACCTGTACTGTCACCAGTGCTTGAAGCCCACTCTGGCCACAGTGCCCTGCCCTGTGTGCAGCTATGCCAAGTACTGCAGCCCCAGGTGCCTGCAGCAAGCCTGGGAGCAGCACCACAGCACCGAATGTCCTCTCGGGGCGCTACTGCACACGCTTGGCATCTTCTGCCACACCGCCCTGAGAATGACACTGGTGGCCAGATTCCAGGACGCTGGCCTGATCTCAAAGAAACTTTGCCATGAGATGAGTAACAGGGACGTCTGTGTGTCTGAAAGCAAGCATCCCATCAAATCATTCAGGTGCGACCCAGGAGACAGTGAAAAAGATGACACCGCGATTGAGACCCCCATTCCAGGGTGCGATGTTGACGGGAAGTATGAAAACAATTACAACGCCGTCTTCAGCCTCTTGCCCCACACGCACAGCCACAGCCCCGAACACAAGTTCCTGTGTGCGCTCAGTGTGGCTGCGCTGTGCAGACAGCTCCAGGCAGCCAGCTCGCAGGCCCTGTTCCCGGGGGGCCTGATGTCCCCACGGACAGCGGCAGCAGCCCCTCAGGAGCCGTGCCCAGATTGGCACATTTGGGGCGTGGCCATGCTGCGGCACATGCTCCAGCTGCAGTGCAATGCCCAGGCCGTGACTGCCATCCAGCAGACAGGTAAGGGGCACGCGCCCTGCAGCAGAGAGAACCACCAGGAAGGGCCCTTGCCACTCAGGCGCCCATCCCGTCTCCGAGTGCCTGGGCTGCAGGCTGGCCCCGCTTCCAGTTCCAGCTTTCTGCTAATGCGTACTCTGAGTGGACACAGGTGGCGGCCCAGGGTCTTGGGTCCCTGTCACACATGCGGTAGACCTCCATCCCTCCATCTCGCTTTCTCTGTTTCTCTCTCTGCCTTTCAAACAAGTAAATCTTTTTCAAAAAGAATTATAAAGGAAAGTAATAGCACTAAGACACACTAGTGTCCCTCTGGAGAATCACAGCTGATCTTGTATTATACGGTTGTTTGAGCCACTTAGTCTCAGTTTCTTTACATATAAAAGAGGTTGTGGGCCCGGCATGGTGGCCCAGTGGATAAGGTCCTCACCTTGCACGCCCGGGATCCCATATGGGCACTGGTTCTAGTCCCCACGGCCCCGCTTCCCATCCGGCTCCCTGCCTGTGGCCCGGGAAAGCAGTCGAGGGCAGCCCGAGGCTTTGGGACCCTGCACCCGTGTGGGAGACCCGGAAGAGGCTCCTCGGTTTGGATCGACATAGTGTCGGCCGTTGTGCTCACTTGGGGAGTGAATTATCGGACGGAAGATCTTCCTCTCTGTCTCTCCTCTCTGTATATCCGCCTTTCCAATAAGATAAATAAATAAATCTCTATCTCATATAAAAGAGGTTGTTTCATCCCACCCTAACTTACAAAGTGGGTGTTTATTTAGACTCTTTACAAAATTAAAATTCATGTTATGGAGGTTTTGATTGTGAAAGAAAGCTGTTTCCCATAAACAACTGAAGCTCTTGAACTTATTATGGGAACCCACCATCAACTGAAAATACCCCAGCTCAGGGCCAGCGTGTGGCGCATGCAGTTAAGCTGCCACCTGCCGTGGCACTGGCCTCGCCTATGGACATCATTTCAAATCCCAGCTGCTCTTCCTCAAATCCAACTCCCTGCTTATGTGCCTGGGAGGCCCAGAGTTCCAGGCTCCTGCCTTCAGCCTGGCCTGGCCCAGCTGCAGCCATTGTGGCCATCTAGGGAGTGACCAGCAGATGGAAGGTAGAAGTTCTGTGTCTGTCCTTCCCTCTTTGTAATTCTCTGCCTTTCGTATAAATAAGTAAAACTTTTAAAATATGTATACTCAGAAGGAAAAACTCACAGAATTAGGAAAAATGAAGAAGACAGAACCAATGTTCGAATATAAATTTACTTGTAAGTTTAAAATGTTAATATGGGCTCTCAGCACTAGGAGGTGGAGTATTAAGTCATCACACTGGGCCCTTAGAACGACTCTTTTCCATGAGTTCTTTCAAAACTTAAAGGCTTTTTCTGTACTTTTAATTTAAAGTGTGTGTATGCATGTGTGCATGTGTAAGGGCCAGATTGATGCTGTGCTTTATAACCTGTCCCAGAGCAAGGAGAACCCTCGGCTCTTTCCTACTCATTGTGCAACACCAAGAACAGCAGCCCGGTCTCACGGGTGAATGTGGAGGGGGACACGTTGGCTCAGACTCCACCAAGTCCCATGCAGCAGGTGTAAAGGGGGAGTGCCCAACATGGAAGTCCCACAGGGACACGGGGTGTCAGGTGGAAACACTGAACCCGAGGAATGCGTCGTCCCACGTTATGCTCTAGTCATGCTAATCCAGCCTCGAGGAAAGGCACAGTTGGGTTTTTTTGGGATTTGATAGCATCCTCGAGGTCATCGTGAGTCAGTGCGGGAGAATAACCTTTTGGAGTCCCTATTGGCCTTGACACTGTCAGATGTCGTACCTGCTGAAAGACACAACCATGGCAGGCATGAAACTCGTGACAGTCTCCGGAGAGTTAATGTTAAATAGGTTTAAATCAAGCTATAAAGTATCTAGAAAAAAGGTAAGCAAACTTTTTTTTTCAAGGATTTTTTTTTTATTGGAAAGTCAGATATATAGAGAGAAGGAGAGACAGAGAGGAAGATCTCCCGTCCATTGAATCACTCCCCAAGTGAGCACAATGGCTGGAACTGAGCCTGTGTGAAGCCAGGATCCAGGAATTTCCTCCGTGTCTCCCACGTGGGTGCAGGGTCCCAAGGCTTTAGGCCATCCTCGATTGCTTTCCCAGGCCACAGGCAGGGAGCTGGATGGGAAATGGAGCTGCCGGGATTAGAACTGGCGCCTACATGGGATCCCGGTGCTTTCAAGGGGAGGATTTTAGCCACTAGGCCACAGCGCTGGGCCCATGACTATGCATTTTTAAGTGTTAATATTAAAAATCATCGTTTGAGTTATTTTTTCCTATCTAAAAAGCAAAGATCGTGAGAGGAACATTGGTATTCAGAAAAAGTAAAAATTTGGGCATTCTGGAGAGCAGCTTCCCCTCACCCTGTCATTCAGGTGTGACCCTCAGGTGTATTTTGTTTTGTCGTCTTTCTGTCTGGTGTGCTGAATTTTCTTAGCTGCCATGCCAAATGCCAGCCCCCAGAGGACAGGGCAGGGCAGCAGCGCGTAGTCCACCATTGCCCTTGGGTAAGTTGTGCCCGTTTCCCACCCATCAGTCACGTTCACGCTCATTTTTAAATTGTCTTATTTTGTTTTAGTCTGCTCATGTTTCTAATCTTGTTATATCCCTTTTTATTATTTCTTTGGGGTTCCAACAGCTCCCAATTTAGTTTCTCATTGAATTTCATTAACAGCTGTTTCATTAGTAACACAAAAGAAGGATTAAAGTGTTAACTAGGATAGACTTTGGCAAAAACCCTATAAAAATGTATGTTATTAACTTTGCATAAATCCTACTTAATCAAACTTCCTGAGAAACCTCTCTCTGGTGCTTGTCTTAAGGGAAGGGACTGGCCCCCAGTGCTGGTGTAGAGCCTGCCGTGAGGGCCATCCCGGTGGCAATGGCTCCTGCCAGATCTCCATCTGCTTAACAAGGTTCTTGGGCCCAGCACAATGGTTCAATGGCTAAATCCTCACCTTGCAAGCACCAGGATCCCGTATGGGTGCCAATTTGTGCCCCAGCTGCTCTACTTCCCATCCAGCTCCTTGCTTGTGGCCTGGGAAAGCAGTCAAAAACGGCCCAAAGCTTTGGGACCCTGCATCTGCATGGGAGACCCAGAGTAGGGCTCCTGGCTCCTGGCTTCAGACAGGCTCAGCTGCAGTCGCTGTGGTCATTCATAGAGTGAACCAGCAAAGAGAAGACCTTTCTCCTCTCCATAAATCTGATCTGTTTTCCAATAAAAATAAATAAATCTTTGAACAATCAGGGTTCGCTAGTTTCAGACCAATGTGCTGTCCCTGCTTTTCCCTCTTCAGCATCTAAGAAATCTCTTTAGTTTGAGTTCTTGATTAATTGACACATAATTTTCTCATTTTGCAAAATTGTAGCATAGTGTGTATATTTTGCACATATGTGGATCTTTTTCTTTTAAAAAGAAAGACCAAGATTTATATATGTGGGAGAGAACCAAGGAGAGCTCTCCATCCTCTGGCTTACTCCCCAGCTGGCAGCAACAGCCCAAGCTCAGCCAGGCTGATGCCAGGAGCCAGGAGCCCCATCCGTGCCTCCCACGGGAGCGGCAGGGGCCCAAGCACTTGGCCCAGCTTTTGCTGTGTTCCCAGGTGTATTAAGAGGGATTGGAAGCACAGCAGCCGAGACTCTGATCCCACGCTCCTAAGGAATCCTAGTGGCAGCTTCACCCACTGAGCCACGATGCAAACACCCACACACCCCCCAGCGACATTCTTCCAATTCCATTGTAATTGCAGGAGTAGTATTAGCCCGGTACCCTTTTGGGTATTTTTAAAAAAAATAATACAAAAATGTCACATACTCAATTTGGTTAACAAAGCACATGCCTATTTTCATCTTCTATCTCTCCCAACAAATGACTAATGCAAAATACTGAGTAATTTTCAAAAATCCATAGTTCATCTTGGAGAAATAATTAGAGAGCGATTCAACTCTGACACAAACTCCCCCTCAGTCCCTGGGCTTGCTGCTGTCGGTGGGTGAGCTATAAATAGCTCCCCAAGCTAACATCACTCATTGCATTGTGACTTTTTTTTTTTTTTTCTGGAAAAATTTAGCAACTGTTCTAACACAGATTGCCAGTTAATGCAAGTCAACTTTTTAATTATGCAGAGTGATTATTCAGACAGCGCCTTCCTGCTGCCTACCTGTCAGGGTTTTCACCGCTCATTAGAGTTAACAGGAGGTGGGCCTCGGCCCGGAGAGGGGACAGGAAGTCAGGAGAGAAGCTCTGATGCAAGATTTCCGGAGAGGTTGTAGAACTGAGTCATTTGGATTCCGTGTGTGTTATATACCCTGGCGCTCTTCCCCTTGTCCTCCATGGCAACAGATAATAGAATTATCCAGAGGGGCCGTTCTTCCCGTAGCCCGTGTTTTCCTTGGTTCGCCACTTCGGTACCTCTGTACCTAGACTGTGGGTCTCCATGGTGAATGGTCTGCGAAGAGATCTTGCTCTACGGTGGTACTGCAGTTATCTGCTGGTTGTTGTTGTTTTGTTTTTCAGAAAGCTGGAATTTCTCCCTTGAAGTACCAGTGTTTCAGCCAGTTTAGGGGAAACATGGTTTTCCCCAAGATCAAACTGGGGCTACTGAAATTAACGGCAGCCCTTCCAGCCGTCTGTCTGGCAAGGACAGCCGGGACCCCACGGGGTCACCATCCATCTCGGGACTCTGGTGTAGTGCAATGGGAACCCTACTGACTGCTCTTAGGTCCCCTCAGGCTTTTACATGCCCGTTCCTTTTGTCCTAGTCAGAAAAGCCAGCCTCTCATATTCTCCAGAGAAACCTCGTGGTGACCGCCTCTGTGGAGTGCTTTCCTGTGTAGGCGGACGAGCTTAGGTGACCTTGACTCTGTGCATATGACGTCAGCTGTTTTTGAGTCAAAGCCCAGTTAGGCAGAAGCACTTAGGGGCTGGTATCGTAGTGCCCTGGGCTAAACTACCACCTGTCACACCAGCATTCCATATAGCCACCTCTCTCTCTCTCCAACTCTGCTTTTTAGACATATAACTAAAATCTTAAAAAATTAAACACAAAGGGTCCTAAGACTTAGAAAAGCTTTTGGGAAATAGTCTCAACAGGTACTCAAGTTTCTTTCTTTAAAGTTTTGTTTGCTTTTTTTATTTACTTATTTGAAAGAGAGACAGAAAATCTTCCATCCACTGGTTCACTTTCCAAATGATGGCCACAGCTGGGGCTGGGCCAGGATGAAACCAGGCACCCAGAACTTCCTCTGTGGGGTGCTCTCTCACGCAGGTGACAGAAGAGGAGCTGAGTGCTCTGCGGAGCTTAAGCTGGCCCCTGGTTAGCAGGACTGGGTCTGGAGCAGCAGGGGCTGTGTCACAGGCGGTACACTCTGCCCGGCTTAACCCTGGCTTAACATCACCCCGTGCCGCAGGTGCTCTGCTCTCAGGCCCTCACAAACATTGCAAAGCTCTCGGTCTGGAAAGCTTCCTGCTGATAATTCCCTTTTTATTATTTTCTAATGAATTTTAATCCTTGGACTTGCTGCGGTATATAGGAACACCATCATCAGGTCCCAGGATCACAGTGGACACCTCGCGTTCATTTGCTCACTGTCCGGGATCTGGCTGTGGCGCTGTGATCCAAGCGGGATTTGGTCTCAGCCTCTGAAGGGTGGCGGGCGGGGCCCAGGCCCACAGCCCGACTCGCGTGTCCTTTCTGCCTCTTGTGCTTTCAGACTCGAAGGAGTCCCTCATCACCAGCAGCAGTCAAGTGCGCCTTGCCACAGGCATCTTCCCTGTGCTTAGCCTCCTGAACCACTCCTGCAGCCCCAACACCAGCGTGTCCTTTGTTGGCACTGTTGCCACTGTCCGGGCATCACAGCATATCAGCCAAGGGCAAGAGATTCTGCACTGCTACGGTGAGCTGTGTCCTCGCACCCCTGGCCTGCCCTTCCCCAAGCACTAGAGGATGGGGTGGGCATGGTGGCACCATGGGTTAAGCAGCCTCTTGGGATGTCCAGACCCCTCAGAGTACCTGCTTGAGTCGTGGATCCTCCGCTTCTGATCTAGTTCCCTGCTGATGCTCCTGGGAGGCTCAAGGACTAGGGCTTCTGCTACCCAGGTGGAAGCCTAGATGGAGTTCCTGGCTCCTGTCTTCAGCCTGGCCCAGCCCTGGCTGTTGTGGCTATTGGTTGAGTGAACCAGTGAATCTAAGATCAGTATCTTTCTCAGTCTTGACCTGTCATTCTGCCTTTCAAATAAAGAATTTTTATTAACATTTTATTTATTTAAGAGAAAGAGAGCAAGAGTTAGAGAACTCTTCCACCCACTGGTTCACTCTCCCCCATGGCCGCAGTGACCTGAGCTGAGCCAGGCTGAGGCCAGGGACGAGGACCCCCACACCGATCTCCCACATGGGTGGCAGGGACGTGGATCAGAAGTGAAACAGCTGAGACTTGAGGATGGCTGTGTCACAGGCAACAGCTTAACCCTCTGTGTTACAGTTTCAGCCCCCCAAATAAGTAATCTTAAAAGGAGGGATGGCTGGGGGGGGGTGCAATGCATTGAGCAAGTTCCTGTAAGAGGTAAGCCAAAAAAAAAAAAACACCTTCTCACTCTAATAGGAGGCCCTGTTGTGGCTAAGCTGTCCTTATCTATCACAGCTTCAGCAATATAGACTTCCTTTCTGAAATGTCTTGGCTTCTTTGGCCTCCTGTCCCAGCTACCTGGAAACTCAGGTCAGTGTTTAGTTCCACATGTATTGAAGTGAGGGCCACCTGTCGCCCGGATCGCGCAGGCGCTCGGCTCGGCTGAAGGTGCTAGGGTTCTGTTTGACCCTCTCTGGCCTTCTGTGCTAGCCAGGGACACTCTCTCCCCAGGCCCTCACGTGAGCCACTTGGACGTCGCTGCGAGGCAGCAGAAGCTGAAGTCGCAGTATTTCTTTGACTGCAGCTGTCCAGCTTGCTGCTCCGAGGCACGGCCCACCGCTGCAGGGCCCAGGTGGGCAGCCTTCTGCTGCAGCAGTTGCAGAGCACTCCTGCAGGTATGCGGCCCTTGCCCTGCTCTGCCCACAGGCCCCTGGTGGTCAGCCCTCACGCCCCGCAGGCTCACTGCTGCTGACAGCAGCAACACTACTCCCACCTTAACTCATTACCCCGCACATCGGTCACTCCTGCCAGAGAATCACAGGCAGGCATTGGGTTTAGTAATATTAGTCATATTTCTCTTGCAAATGACAGAAAATCCCACCCTGGTGGTCAAGGGGTGAGAATATGGACAGAATTCATTAGGTTAATAAGTAAGTCGTCGTAAGTTCCCTAGAGTAGGGCTACCCCGGGGTACAGGTCGATGATGTCACCAGGTCCCGTGTGCTCCATCTCACCTCACTCAGCTCCGTTTCCTGCATTGGCCTCATCCCAAGACAGGCCCCCTGCCCGTCAGGGTGGCAAGGCCACTGCCAGCAGCTCCCATCCTCCCTGCCCAGGAGGACAATGATATGTGGCACCCTGACAGCAGCCGGGGCAGAGGAATCACATGGCCAGACCTGGGCTGTGGGATATGGACCAGGGCACCCTGAGGGGGGTCCTGGGGAAGGGAGGTCCCTCCCAGACCTGCAGCCTAGTAGTGCACAGCAGGCTGTGTCAAAGCCGAAGCAAGCATGGGCTCTACCAGTTCTGTTTTTACAAATCAAGCCGCCGTTTTCCTGAGGATCGCAGTTGCCAGGGCAGATGTCCCTGGGCCTGGGTTGGGACTGCTGTAGCACAGGATGGCCTTCTTCTGTGTGCTCAGAAACCGCCTTGGAAGCACACGCCTGAGCTGGGCGAATGAGGCCCCTGCTCAAAACAGGGCCAACACTGCCTTCCGCAGGGCGATGCCGTGCTGCACTGTGGCAGTGGGTCCTGTCCGGAAGCCGTCAGCAGGGATTGTCTGGCCTCGCGGCTGAGGGACCTGAAACGCCAGATCGCTGCGGCTCTGAAGCTTCTCAGAAGTGGTAAACTAAGTGAGTGAGCGCCCAGCATTGCTCTCCCAGCGCCTTCTGAACCCTCATCCATTCCGCCTTACACTGCAGGGGGCTGGGTAGTGGTCATTCCCTTCCTCGCCACCAGATGGCTCTGCAGGCCAATGAGACCAGGTGCTGACCGGCCCCTTCATCCTGGGGTCCCTGGAAAAGAGTCCCTAGGAGTTAGGCATCCCACTGCAAACTTAAAGGATCCCTGAGGTCAAAGGGGTTAGCTCTCACACGCTTGAGTTCCAGAGACTTCCAGAAGTGCACAGTCATGGAGTTTTGTTTGAGGGCCTAGTGATGTCACTTCCTGGAAAGACTGCCAACATTCCCCCTCAGAGCCAGCCTCCTGCAGAGGGCAATAGGCAGGTGCCCATGGGGGTACAAGGGCCCCCCAAAATAAACTTCTTTTAAGTTTATTTTGATGTAAAAATTGTAATCTGTGCCTGGTGCATTTTCCTGTGGGTTTTTTGCAGTCCCCTTGTAAGTCTCCTGGTTCCTTTGGTACCAAGGGGACACCTCATTGCCCTTGGAAACCCTGCCTTGGAGCTCCACTTCGTGGAAGTTATTTGTCCCACTGGAAGAAAGTTGACCTTTAGCTTAGTTCTGGAGTGAAGAGAAATAATGACCTTCGATGGAATGTAGCGTTGGTTGGTTAGGAAAGCAGATGTTGGAAACACAGGGGAAATACCAGCTTGCTTTTTTTTTTTTTGAGGCTGAGAAAGAGCTTTCATTCACCATTCCTTCCCTAAATGCCCTGACTAGCTGGGCCTGAAGTGGGGAGCCACAGACTCAATCCAGATCTTCCACATGGGTGAAAAAACCCAATCATTTGAGTCATTGCCACTCCCCTCATGTGGGAGACCCAGAAGAAACTCCTGGCTCCTGGCTTTAATTTGGCCCAGCCCTGCTCATTTGTGGCCATTTGGAGAGCAAACCAGCAGTTGGAAAAAATCTCTCGTCTCTCTCTCTCCCTCCCTCTCTATATCTCTGCTTTTTAAATAAATAAATAAATCTTTTTTTAAAAAATGAAAAAATAATTTTAAAAGCCAGAGCCAGGTATAAAACCCAGGCACTCTGCCATGGGATACTTAACCAACATGGCACCCCTAGGTTAAATGCCTTCCCCACACCTAGCAACCCTGTCAGCCTAGGTACCACGGGGTCTTGGTGAAACCCATCCAAGCAAAGGGGTGCTGACAGTGCCGCCCCAGCCTCTGGGCTCTCCTGCCCAGGACGGTATCTGTGCTTTCTCTCTGACACAGAGGAAGCGGTTCAGCAGCTACAGGGATGCCAGCGCTCTGCGGAGAGCTTCCTATGGGTGGAGCACAGCCTGCTGGGAGAGATCGCAGACTACCTAGCCCAGGCCTACGCAACCTTAGGTAGGCAGTGTGTCTGGGGTGCCCTGGGTGCTTGGTTCCTCCGCTTGGTTCCCGCTCAGGCTGACGCCTGCACTGCACCCCCTGCCGGTCAGTTGCCCATGGTTCTCTCCCACAGCGGACTGGCAGAAAGCAGCCGCCCACCTTCGGAAGAGTCTTGCGGTGGTTGAGGCCCGCTACGGCGCATCCAGCATTGAAATGGGCCGTGAACTCTTCAAGCTGGCCCAGATCCTGTTCAACGGGTGAGCCTGAGCGCCCCCTTCACATGCGAGCCCTTAAACGTGGTGACACTTGAGCGTTCCCTCTTTGGGAGGTCTCACAGCCCCTGCTGGTTTAGCTCATACTCTGGGATCTGACGCAGGGTTCCCTGGGAGGCCTCCCTATGGCCCGCCTTCTCATTCCTTTCCGTTTACTCACTCTGCCCCTGGGGCCCTCGTTTCCCAGCACCATCAGCTCCAGGGTCCCTGCCTTCTCCCCCAGACAGCATCCTAGTCCTTTTTAAGCAGTTGTTTTCCACCAGGAGCGATTGTTGCTGCCAGACAACGCCTGGCACTGTCGGGGGAGGGTTTGGGGAGGAGGCAGACGAGGGCACTGCACGTGGCAGGAGAAGCCAGAGGGAGGCTCCTCAACAGCCCACAATGCTCAGGCTGCAGCCCCACCCGCCACCTCTCACCCCTGGGCAAGGGATGGGCAAGCGCAAAGTGTCCACCCTGCCAAGGTGGAAGGTGCTGCTTTAAAGAGGAAAAGAGAGTTGGCGGGAATGAGGAGCTGGGGTGGAAGTCTTCTCAAAGCCTTCTCCTCCCCCCCCCATTTTAGCAAAAACTATCACTGATATACACTGGTTTGAGTAGGTGCTTGAAGCTTAAGTTTCGGTTATGAATGGCAAGTGTACCTGACACTAAGATGAAAATGACCCCACTGGGTCAGGGACAGAGAAAAAGCTTGCAGAGCTGGGTCACGCTCAACTTGGTAACCCTAAACCTCAGGTGTACCAGGGAGGAATCAGAGAAGGGGCAGCATGGCAGTGCAGAGTAAGGTACCCCTTGGGGCATTGGCATCCTGCACAGGGGCACCAGTTCACCTCCCAGCTGCTCTGCTTCTGATCCAGCTCCCTGCTAACTCACTGGGAGCAGCACAAAGACCGGGGTCCCTGCCAGTCATGTGGGAGCCTCACTTGTAGTTATTAGCTCGTAGCTTCAGCCTGTGCAGGCCCCCACCGTTGGAGCCATCTGAGGAGTGAACCAGCAGATGAAGAGCTCTCTCACAAATTTTAAAAGATTAATGCGAAGTCTTTTTTTTCACATTTTTAAAGATTTATTTATTTATCTTAATTGGGAAGTAGATATACAGAGAGGAGGAAAGATGGAGAGGAAGATCTTCTGATCAATGTTTCACTCCCCAAGTGGCCACAAGGGCTACAGCCGCACCGATCCGAAGCCAGGAGCTTCTTCCAGGTCTCCCACACAGTTGCAGGGTCCCAAGGTTTTGAGCTGCCCTAGACTGGATGGGAAGTGCGGCAGCCTGGATTAGAACCAGCGCCCATATGGGATCTTGGCACGTGCCAGGCAAGGACTTTCGCCACTAGGGCACGGGGTCCCTTCTGCTGCTTTTCACAGATGTATTAGCTGGCAGCTGGGTGGGAAGTGGAGCAGACAGGACGAGTGAACGCTCCCTCTTGCCTCCCATGTTTAGGATGGAAATCCATGAAGCACTGAGCACAATCGAGAAGGCGGAGGGGGTCCTGTCGGTGCACTGTGGCCCCTGCAGCGACGAGGTCCGGGAGCTCCGCCAGATGCACTCCTGCTTACTGGACTTGATGCCCGGCCCCATGGGGCCTTCTCTGTAGGGTCCCAGCCCAAGGAAGGCAAGTTAAAGAGGCTCTGGGGCCGCCAAGCCCAGCCAGGGAAGACGGGACTCGCCTGGCAGCCCCAAATCCAGTACATGGTACTGCAGGGCCAGGCACTCACCTATTTTATTTTTGCATCTTTTTTTTTAATTTGTATTTTGGGGGAAATCCCGGTGTATACAAATTGTACCACATAATTAAAAAATTCAAAATAAATATATTAAAAAGATGTTTTGAGGGAAGGACATTTTTTAAACCATTTTTTTTAAAAAGGTGTTTTGTATTCATTTGAAAGGAAGAACTACAGGAGAAAAAAAAGATATTCCATTCACTGGTTCACTCCCCAAATGGTGGCAACAGCCCAGGTCAGACCAGGCTGAAGCTTGGAGCCAGGAGTTTCTTCCCGGCCTCCCACGTGCGTTCAGGGGCTTCAGCACTTACTTTTTCCTTCCTTTTCTTTTTTATAGGATCTATTTATTTTTATTGGAAAGACAGATTTACAGAGAGAAGGAGAGATAGAGAAAGATTATCCATCTACTGGTTCACTCCCCAAGTGGCCACAGCAGCCAGAGCCGAGACAATCCAAAGCCAGAAGCCAGGAGCTTCTCTTGGTCCCCCACGTGGGTGCAGGGTCCCAAGGCTTTGGGCTGTCCTCAACTGCTTTCCCAGGCCACAAGCAGGGAGCTGGATGGGAAGTGGACAGCCGAACCATGAACCGGCACCCATATGGGATCCTAATGTTTGCAAGGTAAGAATTAAGCCTCTAGGCCATTGCACTGGGCCATCTTGCACTGCCTCACCAGGCACCTTAGCAGGGAGCTGGATTGGAAGCTGTCCAGCCAGGTCCAACGGGCACTCATACAGGATGCCAGTCTTGTAAACAGAAGTATAAGCTGGGCCCAGCGGCGTGGCCTAGCGACTAAAGGCCTCGCCTTGAATGCGCCAGGATTCCATGTGGACACCAGTTCTAATCCTAGCAGTTCCACTTCCCATCCAGCTCCCTGCTTGTGACCTGGGAAAGCAGTTGAGGATGGCCCAAAGCCTTGGGACCCTGCACCTGTGTGGGAGACCCAGATGAAGCTGTAGGTCCCTGGCTTGGGATTGGTGCAGCACCAGCAGTTATGGTCACTTGGGGAGTGAATCATCGGACAGAAGATCTTCCTCTCTGTCTCTCCTCCTTTCTTTATATCTGACTTCCCAATAAAAATAAAGAAATCTTTAAAAATAAAAAAAAGCTTAAGCTGTATGCCACAATGCCAGCCTCTGATAACTATAGACATATTTAACAGTCCTCCAGTAAAAGCCCCAGTTCCCAAGTAAGGCTTAGAAAAGGATTTTGCCTGCAGGCATCTGGATGCAAGCCTAGGGTTTTGGCCAGAATCCATTTCACTCAGTGATAACTGTTCTGGAACATTCCAGGAGCTTCTAACAGTCATGAAGTATTGCGCACCCCTCCAGTGGGAACTAAAGCCTCAGCAGTTGTATGGTAATTAACAAATGAAGTGAGACTCCGCCAAGCTTTTTACTTGGGATGCACATCTCCACTCGGAGTCCCTGCTTTCTCCCAACCCTTTGTTGAAACCCCTGTAGTAGATGTTGTGGACAGAGAAACACAAACGAGGCTCTTACTGTTGGGACAGTGTCCTCTGGGGATGGCAACTCCTAACGTTGTTTTCAGTCGCTTCGCTGGCCCTCTGGCTTTGATTCTGTCTGCCTGGCAGGCTGCCCAGCCAAGTGCCAACACAGTCCAACCCGTAGGAATGATCTTATAACACATCCGCCTCTGTCTGAATCCTATTGATTAGCAAGAGTCTGTCGCTTCCACCACTCTCCCTCCTCCCTCACAAGGCAGATGAGATCCAGACCAGACCGCAGGAGGACGGGAAAGGGCAGTGAGGTTCTTCCCAGACAGCCAGGGTGTGGGCGTCGCTGCTGCAGTTTCCAACTCCAGAGGCAGGCGGCGGTGACGATGGCCGCCTGGTGCTGTGGGTCGAACCTGGGGTGGCGGTGTCACCACTGCTGCTGAACAGGGGGTTCACATAAGTCGTGGGAAAAGATTGCCAGGTCCACACTGCCTCAGAAAGCTTGCCTGCCTGCTTGGCCCATGCCCAAGAAGTGCCCACTGGTTGCCATGGCATCATAATTGGGAAATGGATAGCCCTAAAGAGAGCTGGCAGGGTCATTTCCGGAAGCCACGTGTTTGAAATGCACTTAGTGTCCCAGCACTGGTGGGACCAGAAGGGGCAGCATTGTCTGTCTCCTTTCTCATAACTCACTGTGGCACAGGAGTGGCCAGGGAGATTTCTGATAGAGCCTGTGCAAGAAAGGAGAAACTTTGAGCCCAGCACAATGGCTAAGTGGCTAAATCCTCACCCTGCAAGAGCCAGGATCCCGTATGGACAATGGTACATGCTCTGGCTAACCCACTTCCCATCCAGCTCCCTGCCTGTGGCCCGGGAAAGCAGTATAGGACGACCCAAGGCCTTGGGACCCTGCACCCGTGTGGGAGACCTGGAAGAGGCTCCTGGCTTCAAATTGACTCAGCTCTAGCCATTCCAACCATTCAGGAGTGAATCAGCAAATGGAAGCTTGCTCTGTCTCTCCTCTCCATAAATCCAATGTGCCTTTCCAATAAACATGAATATTTTAAAAAGAAAGAGGAACTTGAGTCCTACAGTCGTTTCTGTAGTCACTCTGTCCCAAAATGTGGCATGTCTCATGCATCTGAGGAGGACCCTGTTGCTTAGTGAAAAGGGTATGCTCCTTTTTTTTTTTAAGATTTATTTTATTTTTATTGGAAAGCCAGAGTTACAGAGAAAGATCCTCTGTCCGATGATTCACTTCCCAAGTGGCCCGACCCTATTCATTGTATTCATCTGGAGAGTGAACCAGTGGATGGAAGAGCTCTGTTTCAGATAAAATCTTTGAAAAAAGGAGAGAAAGGAAAGCAGCCCTTGCAGTACACAGTGCAGATAACCAACAGTGATGGGCTGTAAGTTTAGGACAAGCAAACGCCCAGAGGGCAAGTTATCTTCATATTAAGCTTGACATAACTAAATTTAGGAACAAAGTAACAAAAGTGAAAGATAAAGCTCTTTTATTGGCACGTATACATTGAAACGTCACCAGGGCAGCCTTAATGTAATATATAATGTGCCGTCCCTTCTGGGGTTTCGTAGGGTGCTGGAACTTTAGGTGCCCCTGGGGTCCAGGATCTTGCCTATGAAGAGCAGGGCCCCCGTGTCCGTGTCCCGCAGTACAAAGATGAAAGGCCGGTTCAGGTGGTAGTCCAGGGGGAAGGTGAGGCGGGTGGGCTGCAGTTCCGGACTGGGGCCAGTTCCTGCCCCATCCTCGTTCCACTCAAAGCTAGCCCGGTGTTCCACTTGAGTGAGCTTGATAGGTTTGCCTGTGATCTTGGTGAAGTCAGGTGACTCCAGCAAGGGCTGCAGCTCTGCGGAGATGGGGAGGGATGTCCCATCAACACCTGCCCGCCGCCGTAACACCCAGGTAGGCACAGCGAGACGAGCCTCGCCCAAGAGCACCTCACTGAGGTTTAGATCAGAAACCAGGTCACCAGCCTGTCTGAGAGACAAGATCCCAAGACGTGTCCTGGCAGGGGCACTTCTGGAGCTAGGAGTGCACCAGTGAGCAAGGCTGCTCAGGTCCCTCAAACACACCGCCCCCTCTCTGTCGCCGGCAGTACTGCAATGGAGGAACCACCTGTGGCCTCCCCACTGCATCCCCCACCCCCAGGTCGCCCCCCAAGAGCAGAGGGCTGGTTGTTCAACCTACTCATCTCCTGCAGGGCCTTAGTAACCTCGCCTTCGTAGCTCAGCTTCAGCTTGGGCATGCTCAGGACTGCCTGGATGGTCTTCAGTTCCCGGTCTATGTCATGGATGAACTCAGAGGTGAGGCTCTCTTCTATCAAGGTCAAGTTCTGGGTTGCTTTCAGGGGCAGGAAGAAGATGATACTCATGCTTCCAGTTAGGGGCAGCTGGGCAATCTGAAACCAGAGAGGAAGCACGCAGGTTAACGTCTTTGGGCCCAGGATCCCAGAACGGACACACAACTGGGACTTGCTTCCCTGCTCCTACAGTGCGACCCCGGCCCTGCCTCCCTCAGCCTGATCCTGCAACTGTTGCTCCTCTCGCATGTCACTTCCTAATGCTCTCCTTCAAGAGGGAGGCTGCTGCCTTCTCCCCACTTCCCAGCAGCCCCCTGAGCCTCATCCCAAGTGCAACGGTCGGTTGTTCAAAGAACTTCCTCCCATGCTTTGAAGGAACCAGAGCCTGTTCTCATGCATGAGTCCATCTGCTCACTCACTGGCCATCCGTCACAGTCTCCGATGCAGCACTTGATTAGAAATAGGGGCGACAACGTCAGTAACCCAAAGGCGGGTGTTATAGTGTAGCAGTCGAAGCTGCTGCTTGGGACCCTTGCATTCCTGTATCAGCAGAATGTCAGGTTCAAGGCCCTGTTGCTCCACTTCTAACCAAGCTTCCTGCTCGGGCACCTGGGAGGCAGCAGATAATGGCCTACCACCCACAGGAGAGCTGGCTGCAGCTCCTGGCTTCTGGCACGGTCTTGGCCTAACCTTAGGTGTGGGAGGTATTTGAAGTGAACCCAGCAACTAAAAGATCTCTCCCTCCCTGTCTGTCACTCTGCCATTCCAATGAATAACTGAACCTTTTTTTAAAGAAAGTTACTAACCTACAATCTATGCAACCAGTGGTGTTCCAGTGCCAAGAGTGCCCTGAAATCAGAGACCAGTGGGTTCAGACCCTCACGTGGCATGTCTAGCCCGTGCCCCAGGCTCTCAACAGATCCTCAGGTTCACAGCCCAGAGTAAGTCCAGAACCATGGCCTACTTGGGGCTAAAGAAGCCAGGTCCACCTGGCCGCCCGTGACTTGGCATCTGACCGTTTTCTCAGAAGCTGGCTTTACACTGAAGGCAGCAACCGCAGAGTACCCAGTCTTACATTCTCTTGCCCACTTCTGCTCACTTCCCTGGTCTTCACTGCAAACCTAAAGAGGAGAGGTGTTTGGTAACCTCTGTGCCCCCATTTTTTAAAGAAAGAAACGGCTTAGTGTCACTGCTAACTCACTCAAGGCACACAGCAGGTAGCATGGAGGCCACCGTGTGATCTCGGCAACAGCCAGCTGCTGCCCCTACACTGTCACCTCTGCCTTGCCTCTCCCCACCTGCACCCCACAGACCTTGCAGTTGAGATCTGAATCGAGGCCATAGCGTAACACGGCCTTGGGGTCGGACATCATGGGCACTGTCACGGTCCTCTCCTCATCCAGGTGGAAGTCCTGCAGGGAAGTCTTTCTGGAGTCAAACTTTGTCACCCACTGCCCTGCAATGAGAGAATGGAGGGTTCTGAGTCCCAGGAGCAGAGAGCCAGTGAGTGGGGCCATGCTGTGTCTCCCAGGCATGGCGAAGACAAGACTGCCTGCAAGGGCTGTCGGGTCACCGGGGCCTGATGCCCCAGGAATGCCCACATGTCTTCCAGGAGCCTCCCCCCTGGCCAGTTCGGATGGAGATGAGTGGACTGTGTTGAGTTCACTCTGAATCCATGAGGTCTGCGACAGCCCACGGAGAAAGTCCCCTTGTGTGTGCATCACCACGGTGTTTCCCGGGGATGGAATCGACAGAGGCAGAGCTGGAAGGCACCTTCAAGGTCAGCAGATCATCCCACATCTGCTGACTGGGAAGTGGGGTGCCAGTGCCCCCCACCACATCCTGAGAGCCCACATCCAAACTCCCTCAGTGTACTGTGGCCTGTAGTGGCCTGGGACTAACCGGACATGGCAGTGCTGGGGGTAGGATGCCATCGGGCACTCCCCTTGGAGAGGAGGGATCCCCCTTGCTACTTGATAGATTTGAAGGGGGAGGTTGCCCTAACACAACTGCCAGGGCTTCTCTGAGTAGTCCCTGGGCACATGAGCACAGCATGGCCCAAAAAGCACGTGGATAACCAACACCAAGGCACTGAGCACCTGCCAAGTCCCAGGTGTCCTGGGGACAGTGCAAAGTGTCCATAAAGCAGGTGTACAATCCTCACCATTACTAAGGAAATAGGTTATGAAATTTGAAGGGTAAAGGCAGAGTCAAAATTGAAATACTGGGAGGCCGGGGTTGTGGTGTTGTGAGTTAAGCTGCCACCTGCAGCAGATCCTGCCTGCATACCAAATAGGTACCAGTTCAAGATCTAAATGCTTCACTTCCAATCCAACACCCTGCTAATACGCATGCCTGGGAAAATAGTAGAGTATGTTTCCAGTTCTTGGACCCCTGAGCCCATGTAGGAGATCCAGAAGAAACTCTTGGCCCTTAGCTCTGGCCCGGCCCAGCCCTGGCAGTTGTAGCCATTTGAAGGAGTGAATGGAAGGCCTCTTTGTCATTCCTTGTCTCTGCCTTTCAAATAAATAAAATATAAATCTTTCTCTTTTTTTTTTTTTTTTGCCAGGAGCTTCTTCCAGGTCTCCCACACAGGTGCCGGGTTCCAAGGCTTTGTGCCACCCTCCATTCTCTCAGGTCACAAACAAGGAGCTGGAAGGGAAATGGAACAGGCGAGACCCAAACCAGTGCTCATATGGGATCCGGCTCATGCAAGGCAAGGGGATTTAGCCACTAGGCCATCATGCCAGGCCCATAAATATTTTTTCTTTAGGAAAAAACAAAGACATTTAGATTCTGTCTAGGGGCCAACTTTGTGGTAGAGCAGGTTAAGCTTATACCTGTAACACCAGCACTTCAGAACACTGGTTCGAGTCCTGGCTGCTCCACCATCACCCAGCAGAGTGCAGAGGTGTTGCTAAGCTGAGTCCTGGCAGCTCTTCCTCCAAACCAGATCCCTGCAATTGTGCCAGGGAAACCAGCAGTGGATAGCCCAAGTGCTCGGGCCCCTGCCATCCGCATGGAGTGGGTGAAGTTCCTGCCTCCTGGCTCTGGCCTGACCCAGCCCCGGCTGTTACAGACATTGGGAAAGCAAACTGGTAGATGAAAGATGTATTTCTGTGTCGTTCTAACTTTCAAATAAATCTCTTTAAAAAAAAGAAAAAGCAACAACATAAACCTGGTCTGACTAAATGCAGGAGTCTAGCAGCAGGTATAGCATGCTTTTTCCTCCTCTCAGGCCTGTGCTGTGTAGAGATGCACACTGCCAAGTGCAGTTCTCACTTCCTCCTCTGGCTATGCTCCAGGTTCAAGTTGAGCGTGACTTGCTGCCTGTCCCGCCAGCCACCCCCAGGGCCAAAAGAGCAGCAGAGAAGCTCTCACCCTTGAAATAAGCCACTCCAAGGAGGAGAATGCTGATGTCACTGGGCATCTCCCTGGTGGATCTGGCAATCTTGCCTTTCATCTGGGTCTGTACCCAGTTGTTAATTTCCTGAAGGTCCAGCCGAGGGTTGCCAGTCAGGACCCTGGGCCTGGTCCCATACGACTTCTCCAGCGGCGCCACAAAGCTGGACTTTATCCGCAGCTCTGGAAGTGGGGCAGAGCAGAGGTTAGGTGTGCAAGAGAACCATGGCAGCATCCTGACTCTGGGAGCATGCCCGGCTTGGGTTCCGGTCTGCCTCTCTCTGCAGGCCCCCCACTTCCTGCCGGCTGCATTCCCGGGATCTGCCAGGCCCTGGACAGGGAACAACACATTTCACTCACTGCCACTTCTCTTCATGCCCTTGCCCTCTCACACAGCAGCCCACTTCCTCTCCCCAGCCCCTTCCTGCCCACCAGTGCCAGGCTTGGCCCCAAGCACACATGGACTACTGTTTGGAAAGTGGGCCCCCTGGCAGGGCACACTGAGCCTCCAGGGCAGGAGGGCCACTCACTCCTCTCAAAGACAATCCGCGAGGCACTCTTGAAGTTCTTTTGCGGGGCAGTGACTGCGGCCAGGAGGTCCTTGTAGGTGCTGTGGATGTCTGGGTTGCTGATGAGGTCATAGTAGAGCGCCCGCCGAATGAGGGATTCGGTTCGCTGTTCCGCTCCTGCCACACAGACAAGGATGGCAGCCTAGCTCACCGCCCTCCCGGGACAAGGACACCACAGCCTGCTCCATACCTGCGGGCAGCCTGTGCAAGCTAATGCCAGCAGCCAGCTAGGCACACACAAGGAATTAGAAGGCCATGGAAGAAATAGTGCCTGAGCTCAGGCGCACAAGGCCCTGTACTTGCCCCAATAGCATTTCATGACTATTTCCCAGTTAGTAGCTGTTCATGTCCCTGTGACCTCAGGTGTACTTAAGGTATGGTCATATTCCCAGAACCCAGGGCCAGTTGGCCCGTAGTAGATGCTCAAACGAACGAAGGAGGTTCACTCTAAATGCCCACAACCCTGAATACCTTTCCCAGGAGTTAGAGCGTGGCAGCCATGGGCTCACACACTTGGGGCCCTGTCCTCCTTCGTGCCCCCTGCCCTGCTGCAGGTGCACACAGGCCCACATGCCCACCCCGGTGGCGCTCTCTGCGACTATGCACTCACCCAGTGAGAGGGCGGAGAGCGCCGTGGCCACACTGAGCGGGGACAGGAGCACGTTGGCCTCAGGGCTTGCGCTGGACCTCTGGCGGTACAGGTCATAGCCGAAGTTGGAAACTGCCGCTGCCAGCTTGTTCACTGGAACCTTGAAGAAGGGGTCTTCCTCCTCCAGCGGTGCCCCTGTGCCGTCAGGGGCTGGGGAGGCCTGCCAGGAGACAGGAAGGCCTGGGCTTCGAGTTCCAGGGGCCTCGCAACTTCGCAGAGCTGTGGTGGTGCCAGCCCCGCTGCACCTGCCCTAGCTCAGCTTGGCCTGACCACTTAGCCTGGCCGAGTCTGTCTGTGCCCCTGATAGCACAGGGCCTGTCCGCTAGGGAGAGGCAGCTGACCAGGCTCACACACTCGGAACACTCCCCACCAAAAAAAAGAGAAAAAAAAAAGATTATTTAAATTGACAGCTTGGCGTTGTGTGGTGGACCTGCAGTGCTGGCAATACCATACACTCGAAGATGCTGCACGTGGCCCCCAGCTTCAGCTCGGTCCAGCTCTAGCCATCGAGGCCATTGACAGAGTGAGCCAGCTAAAGGCAAACTGACACACACACTCTGTCTTTCAATTAAATAAGAAGAGTTAAATTTGTAACTTTTAAAGGACTATACTATGTGTAATAACAGAGGAGGGTAGCTGTGTGAGGAGGAAATGGGGAGAGGGGAAGTCATTATACCACAAAACTTATGGAAAATGGTAATAACAGAAAAACTTTAACATAAAAAAGTCTGAAAAATAAAACTGGCAAGGAACTCCCTACGCCCCCAAGGGGCTCTCTCCCGGCCTCTCCCGCCCCCTCCATGCCTCCTGCACTGTAGATGTTCCCTAACCATCCTGACCCAAGGGGACCTTTTTCAGTTTTCTGATTTTTTTTTTTTCAGCATCAGCTACCTGCCACTCCCCCGGCCCCCTGCTAGCTCTTTGCATTTGCATTACTTCATCTGGTCCTTGCTGGTGTGTTTGGCGGGTAAAATGCCTACAGAGACTGCTACCTCAAAACCCTGAAAGGCAAGAAGTGAATCGCAGATGTACCCCTCCCCCCAGCGTTTGGTAGTTGAGACGTGAATGAGCGGCTCCCATGGCCCTGTAAGAATGGCTTTGTGTTTTGTTTGAGGGCTGAGCGAGAGATCCCATCCTCTGATCTCCTCCCCAAATGCCTAAACCGCTCAGGACAGAGCCTGAGCCAGAACCAGAAACACAGTCCAGGCCCCTCAAGTGGGTGGCAGGAAGGCAGCTCTTTGAGCCACCGTCACCATCAGGGCACCACTTCTCCAGCGACTGGCTCTATCTGCCGCTGTAGCCCCACTGTGCGGTCTAGCCGTGCCCTCCCCTGCAGCACTCCTGCTCGGCATGTGAACAAGTGCCCGAAAACTCCATCTGCCCGCTGAGCCCCCACAGGCCACACAAGGACATGAGGAAACAGCCCTGGACTTGTTTACGCCCCTCTTACATTTTTGGATCTTTCTTATGACCCCATTCGGTCCCTGAAAGATAAAGTCAGAAGTTTTTCTGTTTTGAAACGTCTAAGAGAAATAAAGAGTGCAGCACCCACTCCCACCTCCCAGGCTGCCTGCTAAGGAGGGGCTGGGATCGCCTGCCCCCTACTCACCTCCTCCTGACCGCCTGCGGTGTCCTGGCAGCTGCCATGCCCAAGGAGGGCTCCAGTCCAGAGGAGTAGCACCAGGGCCTGCATCCCGGGCCTGGAAGGAAGGGCAGCAGGACCACTTCTCTCAGCAGCCGCCCTATCCCGCCCAGCCACACCAGGTACAGGGAGCAGGGGCTGGGCAGGACGAGGGGCACCTTCCCACACGCCTCCCCATCCTGGAGGGACCATCCTCTCCCAGTCATGACTTCCCACCCCTTCTGTGACCCACAGTCAACACCATAGCTGGGGCTCTCAGCCCGTTGTCAGGGAATACCCCCATCCCTGCTCTTGACCCTAAAGCTGTAGCGCAGGGGAGACTCAGCCCAGGGCTTCTCTGTGTGGAGTCTGGCCCAGCACACGGGCACACCGAAGCTTCTGCCTGGCAGCACCTGGCCAGCTCCTCTGCTTTGACTGGCGATGAGAACAGAGGCAGAACCCCATGCCCATGTGCAGAATTGCAGCATGCCAGGAAGGGAGCATCCAGTGTGGCCCTTGCCCTCTCCAGGGTCAGGCAGCCCTGGATCCAAATCTGCATTCCACATTTCAGTAGCTCTCCATGGCAACTTTCCCGCCTTCTAAATAAGGTAGTACCTGCCTATTGTTAGGGAGATTTAATCAGCTAATGCCTGAGCAGTGCTTAACTGTGCAAAGAAATGGCTAACTCACCAAAGATTCCTGATGCCAAAATGCCCACATGTTGCCCGCCCCTCAGTCAGACCCCGGCAGGGTCACTTCGCCACAAAGCCCTGTCCTCTTCCCCCTTTCAAACAGCCTTCTAGTCCCGCAGCCTCCTCAGGTTGAAGACCCAAACCCCCTTCTTCTTTTTTAAAGATTTACTTATTTTTTATCAGAAAGTCGAATATACAGAGGAGGAGAGACAAAGAGGAAGATCTGCAGTCTGCTGATTCACTCCCGAAGTAACCGCAACAGCCAAAACTGTGTAAGGTGAGGACTTTAGCCACTAGGCTACCATGCTGGGCCCCTCAACCCACCTCCTTAGACTACCACATCTCTTTACCCTCCCCAGCAACAGCCCCTCCAAGCAGGCTCTGGTCTGGTCCCTGGAACACAAAGGAAAATGCTGAAATCTGGATCTAGGGTATCCTGGACAACCCCATCCCTATTCCTGCATGTCCTCCAGGGAGGGGGGACATCACCACAGGGATCCCCCTGGACTTAGCGCCAGCCCCCACCCCAACACACACCCCTCCAACTTCCCAAAGCAAATCGGATCAGAGACATTGGGAGTCCAGCTTGTCATGTTGACCACAGTCCTTAGCCTTTAAGTCCACTAATCCATTGGCCAACACGGGTGTGACCAGCAGCACAAGGAATAGACAGCCTCCAAGTTTGTTCAGCTTAAGGCAAGCAGGGTCAGCCGGCGGGAGCCAGCCAGGCCTGCTAAACCCTGCCCTGAGTTTGGGTGTCCCAGCGAGAGTTCCACCCACTCCTGTGTCCTCAGCCAGCTAACTGCTCTTCCACGTGGCTGCCCGGCTGCCCAGGAGACACAGCAGGAAAAGCTTTCTGCAGTGCCGGGACCGTGGCCTCAGTGCTGTCCCACCTTACAGCTGCGCCCCATCCAGCCACACCCAAGCTGGGAGGTCTGAACTGAGTACAGCAGAGCAGTTCCCCAGTGACTGGAAAAGCGGTGAGACTCACAGCGGGTGAGGCTCCAGTCCCTGCGGCCAGGGTAGGGAACTGAGAGAGCAGCCAGGTGGAAGCTGACCATGGCATAGGGTTTAAGGAAGGCAAGTACACAGTTCAAAGACACTCAAAGGGGGAATCTAAAGCCGAGTTTCAGGTCACGTGGTTGAAGTCTGTGACCACATATGTAGCTGAGGACTGAAGATGAGGTGAGGGGACCCAGCATGATGGCTCACCTGACTGACTGATCCTCTGCCTTCAAGTGCCAGGATCCCATAAGGATGCAAGCTTGTGTCCCAGTGACCACTCCACTTCCCATCCAGCTTCCTACTTGTGGCTTGGGAAAGTGGTAGAGGACAACCCAAAACCTTGGGACACTGAATCCACATGGGATACCAGGAAGAAGTTCCTGGCTCCTGGCTTTGAATCAGCTCAGCTCTGGCCTTTGTAACCATTTGGGGAGTAAACCAGCAGACAGATCTTTCTGTTGCTCCTCTCTATAAATTTACCTTTCCAATAAAAATACATTTTTTTAAAAATATTTTTAAAAAAAGAAAGGAAAGAAATATTTTTTAAGAAAGATGAGGTGAGGGACGCAGCAGGAGAAGCTGGCCCAGAGCTGGATGAGGCACCGGCAGTGCTAACAGGCCGACTTTGCATCACCTGCCTCAGGCCATGGGGATCCAGGAAGGGCACATGGCCACGGCCAGCCTGGGACCTCCAGAGCAGAACACCTGCCCAGGACAGTGGTGCTGCTGCGGGCTGGCGCCAGGCCCCTCTGACTGGCCAAGGGCACCGAGGGACACAGGGCTGTGTGCAAGCCAGATCCTCAGTCTGCCAGGTCGGGGAGGGCACGGGGCAGAGGCGGACATCCCCTTGCCAAGGCCAGGCCTCATTTTCTGTCACTTCGCCCAGGCCTCGGGATTTTATGATGTCGCCCCGAAGCTAGGAGTGCAATGGCAAGCCAGTACATGTGTTTCAGATTAAAGCCAGCTGTGAGACAAACACCATCCCTCCTTTTCCTCCTCCACTTCTTCCTCCCTCTCCCACAATCACAATCTGGGGCCACATGGCAGTGGGCAGTACAGGAAAGGACATCTCCCATGGTGACCGTCTCAGGAACCCCTCCTCACTCCAAAGGAGGACCAGGCCGGGAATAGAGCTCCCCAGGTCCCCTGCTGGTCCCAGGGGTTGAACTCCCAGTGGCCAAGGATGGGTCAGACAGTGGTGGGGTTTCTGAGAAGCCCGGAGCTTTTCTTTGGCTCAGACCCACTCCTCGCCTGGGATGGCAGGAAGGGCAGCAAAGGGTCACCCCCTCCTCCAGCAGCCGGCTGGGCTCAGTAGTGGTCATTGTTAGTGACAAGCCTCAGCTTCAAGGGGCCCCGCTCTCCGCTCTCCTCTCAGCTGCGTTGGCCAAGCATCTATCTGGGTGGGGGTTGAGAGACGGGTCCAGCTGTCACCCGGCCCGGCCCCTGGACTCAGCTCCCACGGGTGGGCGGGGGAGTGCGAACCAAGGCTGGGGGGCGGGAGAGACCAGGCTTCCCCAGCGCCCCTGGGGGCAGCAGTTCTCCAGGAGCTTCCTGCCGGGGGGTGGGGGGGGGGTCCAGCACCCTGAGTGCTGCTCAGCCCTGACCCAGCCACTGGCTCCCCACTTGCTTCCTCCTCACCACTGTCCCACTCATGTCCCACTCACTTCCTTCACAAATCCTCCCTGTCTCTTCTACGATGCAGTGGGGTCTGGAGTTCATGGGGTCCTGACCTGTCTCCCCACTGCTACCCCATACCCTCTCTCAACCACTCACTCGCCTCATGTGCAAGCGGCAGGAGCCACCTCCTCCCCGTGCACCCCTCTTTGCTCCCTCGCAATGCGCCCCCCCCAGCACCAACCAAGGGAGCCTCTCGCATGTTGGCCTGGCCCACAGGCTGGCCAGGGCACTGCTTTACCTGTGGGTCCGCTGCAGCTCCACTCAAGCCAGCTGTCTCCAAGCCTACACACTGAGGGGCTCCGGCAAGCCCAGAAGCTTTTTTTTTTTTTTTTTTTTTTTTTTTTTTTGCCGCCTCCCAATGCGGCGTCCAACAGGCTTCAGATTACAGCTATTCCTTTCTTAAAGCGACCTGCACTCAATTTGCATCCTGAGATTGCATCATGGTGCATTGCTGCCACCCCATGCTCCCAAGACATACATATGTGCGCTCCCTCCTCTGCCTGCTGCAGGATCTCCCTGCAGAGTCCCGACTGTCCGGGCTGCCCACTGGACTCCCTGTGAGCAAGCAGGCTGACCCCACAGGAGGAAGCCAGGGAGGCCAGCACCGGCCCAGGTTGGCCCAGGGGACACTCCCTGGCCCCGGGCTCTGGGGCTCCCTGGGTTTGGGGACAAGATAACTCACCCTTGGCTCTGACTAAAAAATGAAGAGATGAACTGGGGTTATGTATGATTTCTCAGCTCAGAAATTCTGTGAACTCTAAGATTGCAATGTATTTATTTGAAAGCCTGAGCGAGTGAGCGAGTGAGATCTTCCATTCTCTGATTCACTCCCCCAATGGTGGCAACAACCTGTGTTGGACCAAGTAGTAACCTGGAGCCTGCAACTTCACTCAGGGCTCCCAGGTGGGTGGCAGAGCAGGCACTTGAACTACCACCTGCTGCTTCCCAGACTCATGAAGCAGGGACCCGAGTCAGGACTGGAATGCAGGATCTTTCTGGAAGCCATGGTGCCCACATCCTTCTGGTTTTCTCCTTCCCCAAATGCCACATCTGCACTGGCATTATCACTAGCTTCATCCTGGGAACCCTTTGCTTCTCCATCTACAAGTCCCCTTAGAGAGAGATAGATGATAGATAGATAGATAGATAGATAGATAGATAGATAGATAGATAGATAGATAGATAGATATAGAAATATCTAGGTTTGTTTGTTTGTTTGTTTGTTTGCAGTGCCAGCACCCCATATGGGCACTGGTTCATGTCTCAGCTGTTCCACTTCCCATCCAGCTTCCTGCTCCTGTGTCTGGGAAAACAGCAGAAGATGACCCATGTGCTTGGGCCCCTGACATCCATGTGGGAGACCCAGAAGAAGCTCCTGGCTCCTGGTTTTGGTCTGGCCCAACTACAACCATTGCGGCCATTTGGGTAGTGAGTGGATGGAAGATCTCTCTGTCTCTCCTTCTCTGTCAATCTATCTTTCAAATAAAATCTTTAAAAAGATTATTTGAGAAACAGAGAGTGTAAGTGAGAGTTGGGACACTTGGAAGTGCAAGACAGGGTGTGGTGCCAGTCATTTTTTATATAAATTTATTGACTGATTTTATTATTGACTTATTATTTCTTATTTGAAAGGCAGAGAGGCGGAGATCTTCCTTCCTGTGGTTTACTCCCCAAATGCTCACTGTTGGAGCCATCCTCTTGCTGCCCTCTATGATGCACATCAGCAGGAGGTAAGTGGGGAAGCAGAACCGGGACCTGCCTTGCACCCAGGCGCTCTGACAGCAGGTGCAAGCATCCCGAGTAGAATCTTAACCCCTGTACCAAACCCGCTCACCCTGTGAGGACTGGGCGGGGTGCTGAGGGTTAGCAGAGTGGGGGAATCACTTGGAAGAACTCCCCCCACCCCGCCTGCCCCGCCTTTCAAATAAATGGTAACTTTGAAAGCACATTTTAAAAAAAGATTTGTTTTTTATTGGAAAGGCAGATAAAAATTAAAAAGGATCCTCCAACTACTGGTTCACCTCCCAAGTAGCAATAACAGCCAGAGCTGACCTGATTTGAAGCCAGGAGCCTCTTATGGGCTCTCCCTTATGGGCTCAGGGTCCCAAGGCTTTGGGCCACCCTCCAACACCTTTCCAGGCCACAAGCAGGGAAGTAGATGGAAAGTGGAACAGCTGGGACACGAACTGGCACCCACATGGGATCCTGGCAGATGCAAGGCAATTATTTAGCCACTAGACCATCATGCCAGGCCCTGAAAGCACATTTAAAAACAGCAGGAGGAACCCATCATCTGTGTCCTAGGGCAATAGTTGAGCAAGTTCTGATTCTTGGTGGTGCCTCTGCAGGAGGATGTGAGCCACAAAAGAATGCAGGCACCTCAGGCAGTGCTCTGCCCTGTGTGTGCACCATGCTATACTTCAACTACAACTTTAAAGTAGCTCTGGGCGGCTTCCCTTGGCCCTTTGGAATAAAATGCAAACCCTTACCCTGCTCTGCAAGGACACCTGTGTTCCAGCCCTAGCCCGCTCTGCAGCTCTGGCCTTCGCTCTTCTCTCTGGCCTGGCACACTGCAGTCCCACCGGCCTCCTTTGCTGCTTCTCCCATGATCAAAGCCCATTCCTGCCCCGGAGCCATTGCCCTGGTGCTCACCCCTCCCTGATCCCGCAGCTCCCGCTCTCTGAACCAACAGGCTTTTGTTGTATCCATCTTTTTGCTCCAATGTCACCTTGGGAAGATTTCCCCCCAGTCACAGAACTTTGTGAATTTTCTTTATATCACCTGTCCTTCTGTTTACTGTAGCCTGTGGTCCAGAGCACCTCACCACCAGACTTAGCCTCTGGAGGAATGAGGGTCTGGTCAGCTTGTCAGTGCTGTGGGCACTGCGGGACCCATGGGAAGCACTCGGTAAGCACTTGCAGAACAGCCAGGGCCTGGGAGGCAATGGCAGTATAGATGTAGGTTAGCATTGCAGCACCATGGGGCAAGACACTGCCTACAATGCCATCTGCAACACAAGCATCCTGTATCAGAGGGCTGCTTCCAATCCAGCTCCCTGTGGACACACCTGGCAAAGCAGTAAACCTGGATGGAGTTCCAGGCTCCTGTCTTCAGCCTGGCCCAGCTCCAGCTGATGTGGCTATCTAGATAGTGAACCAGTAATTGGAAGGCCTTTCTCTGCATCTCTTCCTCTGCATTTCAAATAAATAAGTCTTAAAAACAACAACAACAAAAGTTCGTGTGGGTGGGCTTAGTGAACCTGTTATCTCTTCCAAGAAAAACTCTGCAGATTGTCGCTCGGCCTTGAGCCTGTTCCCAGCTTCCTTGACTACTCCTCTTATGCATCCTGAGTCTCCCAGCATGCACCTGCCTCAGGACCTCTGTGTCTGCCACCCCTCTGCCAGGCAGCTCCTCCCCGAGAGCCCGCAGTGCCCTCCCTCCCCTCCTTCCACCCTTTACCCCATAACCCCTTCTCCATGGGACTGCCTCCCAGCCCTGCTCTGCCTGCTGTATTTGTCACCACGGCAGCTTGCACAGCGTCCCCTCGGATCCACTGTGGATTTCCCTTGTTTATCGCCTGGCGCCCACACTGCTAGTTTGCAAAGGCCAGATTCGAGGCCAGGTCTATCTGACTGCGCCGCGCCCTCCAGGCACTTGCCTTGAACCACTGCGCTTGAAGCCCGCAGGTGGCTGCTACCACACAGCACCCTGTATTCACAGAGGAATTCCCAGCAGAGAAGCCTGACCACCCACGGGAGCCCACAGGGACACCCATGTTGCTCCTGATCCAAAGTACCCCCAGCTATGTCCCCCAAGTCCTCAGGCACTCACAGTCTGCCCCGGCTGGCGGGCGCCTGCCCCTGGCAGAGGAGGCAGAGGGGGCAAGGATGTAATTAGAAATCCCACAAGCTCCATAATTGCTGGTTCTTCTCCTGAGCCCAGAGGCCGGCGCTATTCTGAGGCGCCCTTATTCCTGGCTGCCTGGGCTATGGGGAGAGCAGCTGGCATTGAGGTGGCCCTGGACGGGGCTGGCAAGCAGCCCAAGACCGACGTGGCAGCACAGGCGGTCGTCCCTCCTTGGGGCTCATTTCCCAGTGTAGTCTGCTCCCAACCCTGCCACCCACCCACTGGGACCCACACTCTCATCATGGTCTCAACCCAGCCAGCTCTATTCATTCTTTATTCTGGTGGCATATAAATCACTACAAAAACTTTACAAAAGAGCTTTGGGAGTTTATGGGGCTGCTCCCTGCCTCAGCCCCTCTGAGCTACCAACAGGGCAGAGGAGGAAGGTGGGAAAGAAGAATGGGGAAGCAGGGGTGGTGGGGGAACCTGGCAGTGTTGGTTGCATCCCTAAGGACCAGTGTGGCTGGGACTGGCAGGCATTCAGGGTAGGGTCATGCTGGTTTCCGGACCACCCACAGACACAGCAGGATGCAGGGACACATAGGGTCATGTTGGACCTCCCACACCCCCACCTGTGTCTGTCTGCCTTGCCTGGCCAAGCAGCTTTGGGCATGACCAAAGGCAGCTTCTCCTTCCAGTCCCTCCCGCTGGCAGACCGATGAGGAGGCACCCTGATGATCCAGGGAACACCCCCAACCCACCCCCTAACAACACTGGATCTGCAAGCCCCCAGAAAGAATGGGCTAGGGGATGGTCCGGCTGCTGGGGAGGAGGCAGGAAAGGGCAGCCCCTCTCCTCCCACGCAGCGCCCAACCCCCACCCCGCAGGCTGTCTGGGAAAAGTCACTTTAAGTCAAGAGGCGGGTCCAGGCAGGGTCTGAGGAAGCCCTCACTTGGGGGTGCTGAACTGAGGGTAATCCTCTTCTGAGGGAGGCTCCAATTTCAGGTCAGAATCGAAGGCCTTCTCTCTGCGCAAGAATTTCTGGAGCAGCAAGGAGTCCCTGGGGTCGTCAGGGGAATCCTGCGGCTCTTTGCGCTCGGGCGGCGCGCTGGGGTTGGGGTTCCTCACGATGCCCACAAAGACGGGCAGGTCTGTGGCATCCTCCAGGATGAAGAAGAGGAAGGGGCGGTTCACACTGAAGAAGGAGAGTGACATACGCGACATGGCTGTGCCGGTGGCCGCGGCTGCCTCCACGCCGGCCTCGTTCAGCTCCAAGGTTGACTGGTGCTGCACGCTGGACACCACCAGTCCCTGGTCCGAGATCCCTCGTAGGTCTGGGGCCAGAAACAGCTCCTGCAGGCCTGTGCGGATCAGGGCACGGCAGATCAGAACGGCCCTTGGCCCCACTAGGCTGCATGGACTTGGCTGGTCTGCTGGCTACAGATTGCTGCTCACCTCCCTAGAGGACTTGGAATCTCCATTTAAACATCGCTTCCTACAGGATGCATTACCTGACAGCCAGCTCCGAAGCCTGGATCAGCCACTTCTTCAACCTTACCCAGGTGGACTACAGAGGGAACAACCCCACACACCCTGTCTCATCACCCAGGCTGAATCTTGGGTATGTACTCCTGCTTGTGCTCACTCTGCTAGACGCAGCCTTTCTGTCCAATAGGCACCCAATACTCACAATGTGGGGGCTGCTTAGCCAGTGGCTGGTGGGTGGGTGTTTCTTTTAGTGTGGCACCCCACTTCTGCTCCAACCTTCCCTCCCTTCCTATACCCACCCAGGACAGCCAGCACGGCTCTCAGGACACCTATACAGTGCTGGGCCTTGAGTGTCACAGCAGGTTCCCCCTACTCCCCAAGGGGCCCCAGCCCAGCCCATGGTCAAACCCTCGTACTCTCTCCAAAACCCCCCCAAGGCCCAAGCACCAGGCTAGCTGTGACAGCTCTGCTGCGAGCCGGAGTGCCCGGCCTCCTTACCCAGCTGACTGAAGGTAGGCACCAGGTCCTGCTGGTGTTTCAGAAGCAGCTTGGGCAGGCGGACCTTGGTGGGCCTCTCCCTAAGCGTGGGCTGGTGCAGGATGTCCCAGCTCAGGTTGGCCAGCACCTGGGACACATTCCACTCAAAGTGTGTGGGCATAAGGACCACAAAGCTCATGTTGTTCTTAAAGGGGAAGTGAGCCACCTACAAATAAAGGAAGGAAAATGTGAGATCAAGAAGCTTCCAATCCCAGCTGGGGTTTGGGGCAGCATGGGCCCTAAGACACGTGGGCTGGGCTTCCGGCCTCTCTTGGCGAGTATGCATTTGACTTCGTTGAGTCTTCATCTCTATGCACATTGCAGGCCACCAGGAGACCATGTTACTGAGTTCCCAGCAGTCTCTATTTTCACTATGGGGTGGATTTCTCTCTCTCTTCCTTTGCTGTCAGCTAGCCGTGCGAACTGGGAGTGGTGCTGCATGTGTGCACAATGAACGTGCTCCCTGGGGTTTATATTCTCCCTTATAATAAACTTCCATGGGGTCAGCATTATGATGCAGTGAGTTAAACCACTGTGATGCTAGCATTCCACATGAGCACCAGTTCAAGTCCCAACTGTTCCACTTCAAATCTGGCTCCCTGCAAATGGCCCTGGGAAAGCAGCAGACAATGCACTCAGGTGGGAGATGTGGAGAAAGTTCCTGGCTCCTGACTTTGGGCACCAGGCCTTTGAAGTCATTTTAGGGTGTGAACCAGCAGATGGAAGATCTCTCTCTCTCTCTCCCTCTCTTTCTTTCTCCCTTTCTCTCACTATAAACTCTGCCTTCCAAATAGATAAATCTTAAACTCATGATGATGATAAACCCTATCCTGGAGGTCACCTGGCCTGTGCCCCCTCCGTGCAGACTGTCCCCTAGACCACTGTCTCTAAAGTGCTCTCTTCAACCACCTCTTTGAAATGGTCCTGCTGCTGATGGTCACTTGTGTTCCTTGTTACAGTCCCCAACAGCAGGGACCAGCACTCCCTGAGCCTAGAGCAGGATCTGGCATGCAGCAATGAGTCTACCCAAAGGGCTCAGAGCCTGCAGCCTTCCCTGGGGCCACCTAGCTGGGCTACCTGCCCAGGGACAAGACAGCCATGGCCTGAAGGTGTCCCTTCCCCCACCCCCACCCCGCTGTTCCACAGCCACCCACTCCAGTCCCCACCTCCCAGCTGCCAGGCCTCGCCTGCTGGGCAAACAAGGGTGACCTGGGTCTCTGGGTGCTCCAGCAAGAACCAACGCAGAGGGTACGGGTGGGCTTGCATCATGTCCACTGGCACTGCAAACTGCTCATCCAGGTGGAAGAATTCTCTCTGGGTGAGGCTTGGATCGAACTTGTTCCTCCAGAAACCTGTGTCAGGGCAGAAGGCAGGGCCTGTGCTCAGCACCGGGGCTCAGGCCTCCACCTCTAGTCCACTCACAGGGTGAGAAGTAGCAGCCAAGATCCACGCGATGCCAGTGGGCACCTCGTGGGTCAGAGCACCTTAGCAATGCTGTTTCTGCTGTCATGTTTGGGATCCAGGCTTGCCTCTTCCCCAACTGCTGCAATGCTCCCAGGGCCTTCCCACCGGCTCCTTCAGGACCCTACTTCCATCCATGCTCTGCTCAACAAACCCACCCTGTTGCCCCGCTACAGCCAGACCCAACCTAAGGAGGAAATGATGCCATTCCCAGAATGAAGCCTGCCCAGCCCAGCGTGGCCCACAGGTGCCCAGGGCAGGGGACCTGAGAGGCAGAGGCAACGCACCCTGGAAGTGGATGGCATTGAGGAGGAGCAGTACAGTGCTGCCCGGCAGATCTGAGAGGAAGTCCTCAATCTTCCCCTCTGTGGCTTCCTTCACCCATTGGTTGATGTTCTCCAGGTCATCCTCCTGCCTTCCTGTCAGGCTCACAGGCTTTGCACCAAAAAGCTGCTCGGACAGCTTCAGAAAGTCCTCTTTGATGGGGAAGCCTGCACACAAAGGATCCCCAAGCTGTCCCCAGGGAGGCTGCGCCAAGTCAGTCTTCTTTACCCCAGGGCAACGCCTCAGCACATCAGCGCCTACCTTTCTGCAGGTACATTCTGGCAGCCAATCGGAATGCCGTTGGGCCCAGGTCCCGGCAGAGGTGGCTCAGCAGGTGAGGGAGGCAGGGCCCTAAGTCCTCAGCATGCAGTACCTGTTGTAACCTCTGCAGTGTTTGGTTCCGAGCACCTGCAGGGGACCCCACAAGTTGAGGCCAAATAGGGGGGGTTCTTTCTCACCCCCATCCAGTCCTCCACATACTCTCTTCCTAGAAACATTGAGTGACAGGCTGTCCCAGTCCCACCCTCACAACAGGGGCCTTCTGCCTCCAGCTTCACACTACAGCCATCTGGCATGCAACACTTGCATGAAAGTCACCAGGGGAGGCTGTGTCTAATCAGACCCTTGGCCCAAATCCTCGGGAGTCTGACAATCAGAGAGGCTGGATGGAAGGGGCCCAGGAACCTGTATTTTTAACAAACATCCAAGTAACTCTGACATAAAAGGAAGCCCCAGAAAAGCTGCTGGAGGAGTGAAATCCTACTGGCTTCGCAGCTGTTCTGGCCTGCACGGGTTCTTGCCACCATACCTAGCGCCAGGTGGGACAAGGCCAGGGCCACACTCAAGGGCGAGAGGACAAGGTTGGGGCTGGTGGATGTCTGCACCACCAGAGAGAAGAGGTCATTGGTGAAGGCCATCATGGCCTGGGCCAGCCTGCGGGTCTGCTCCGGGCTCGGGGCTCCCTTGCAGTCATCTGGGGACTTCTTCAAGGCAGCGGGACCACTTGGCTCCTGCAGGGATATCAAGGGATCAGTTCCGGATTCGTTGTTGAATCTCCCTCATAGTCCCTGGGTCTGGGATAGTCCTACAAAGGCAGCTCGCTTCCTGGAAGCTTCTGCACCCCGGCCCAGGTCCCACCCCCCCAACTCCTCGCTCCTGCCGATTGGCCCTCCTCCCTTGGGCCCTGCCCTCTCTTCCCCAGCCCCACCTGGGTGTACCTGGTTGACCAGCTTGAGAAGGGCAGGTGGGGGCAGCTTCTCCTGGGTCTGACCACTAAATAGCTGCGGAAAGGAGGCCAGAGATGGAGAGCAACCCTTCCCCCGCCCTCTGCCCCCACGCTCTGGCTGGACCACCGGGAACCGCCCCCCAGGCCTTGTACCATTGGGCTGTCTCCCTTCTCAGTACCTGTTGTTCCACGGGCTCCGTGGCGCCCACAGGAGGGAGCTATTGAGAAAGGGGTGAGCGTGAGCGAGGCGCTCCCTCAGAACTGACCCACCTTTCACCGAGGGCAACCCCGTCCCAGTCCCACACCCTGCACCCACAGACCCCAGCCCCATCTCACCACCAAACAGGGGCCTTGCAGGCAGAACAAGCTGAGCACCAGGAGTGCCCAGGGCAGCGCCATGTTCCTGTGTGGGGACAGGAGGCCTTGGTTCCCACTGCAACCCTACAGCCAGCCTACAGGTCCTACCCACGGGTACAGCCATGGCTGGGGAACTCAGCTGGCTGAACTTAGTGGCACTGATTTTGGAGCAATTGTTTCTAATTGCCCCCTGACTACTGTTTCCCCTTGATTGGGTTTTTTTTTTTTCTTTCTTAGTTTCTGTTTTTTTCTCTGCAGACACGTTGGGGTGGGGTGACAAACAAAAAGAGCAGTGCAAAAGGCAGGCATCTGGTAAAGTGTGTTAGGTTGCTGCTTGGGGCACATACATCCCAGGGAGTCCCCCAGGGATTCCCGACTACTCCAGCTCCCATCCAGCTCCCTGCTACTGCACCTGCAAGCTGCAGCTGATGGTTTAAGTGCTTGGGGACTCAGTCACACATGTGGGAGACCCCAGTGCAGTTCTGGCTTCAATCTGGCCAAGCTCAGGCTGTTGCTAGTATTTGGGGGCTCACCCAACCAGTGGAAGATTCTCTGACATCTGCCTTTTGAGCAGATGGGGAAAAAAATTAATAATAAAATAGCAACAGCAAAAGAAAACTCCCTTGTTCTCTAAAGCCTTGAATCAGACTCAGATTTGAATCCAGGCTCTGATTCTTGCCAACAAAAAAATCTGCCCACCCCTGCCCTGGCCCCGTGTGTGTTATGAGGATCAAAATATAAGCCAGCCATTGTCAACCCTACACACAAATGCCTGGCACTCAGCTGATGGCTGTCTCCGCCTAGCTCCAGGCCCCCTCTTCCAAGGAGCCTTCCCTACAGTCCCCTCCACAGAGCTCCCACCCCAGGCTCCTGCCCGACCTGAGGCCAGCCTTTCCCAGGTGGATCAGCTCTGCCAAGGCCCTGAGCTCTCAACAGGGCAGCCCCAATGACCCAAAAGCAGGACCAGAATGGCCAGAGCCACCTTTGGACCTATGGAAATCACTGGCCTTGAACCCCATTCATCCCCAGGCTGGCTCTGGTAGGTGGGGATGGGCACACATCTTGTTCTAGAGAGGACCCACCTCCCCCACACCCACGGTATCTCATCTCTGGGGCCAATCCCTCCATCACCCTTGGGCTCCCCCTGACCACACACTGTGGCCCCGATCCGCCAACCTGAGCTTGTGATCTCCTGTTGCCCCAAGTCCTCCAGGGATGCCTCCCAGAATCCCCACTTGGGCTCCTGATGGTAAAGTGAGGCTGGGCACCTGCAGGTCTCTCGGACAGACTCAGCCCTCAGCCAAGGGGACAGCTGCCCTGTGCCTCTCCCGCCCCTCCCCTCTTACCTCTGCAGGCTCCTTGCTGGCTGTCACACAAAATGTTCCTCTGGCCCCACTTCGGTGCTCCCCACGTTCTGCCTGCAGGCTACAGCCAGCCCAGCCACCCCTCCCCTCCCACCAGGACCTTTGCTCTCAGCCAGGGGCTGGTGCAGATTGCTTTCTGTGCTGGTAAATATTGACCTGCGCATCCGGTTAAACATTGATACAGGGTCCAGAAGCTCGTTTCCCACCAGGGGATCTCATCCTGAGAGATACCCACGGCCCCATGGCTTTATGTCCTATGCAGCTTTGGGAGGAGATGGTCAAGGAGGATGGGTCTGGCCAGCCCACAGGGCAGCTCCGGGAAACACAGGGCACTGGAATTGGGTCACAGCTTCCAGCAAGCCCACGAGGTGGGAATTCTCAGCTGACAGGCGATGTGACCCACCCAAGGACACAGAGCTGGGCCCACAGGTGAAGCCAGATCCCAACTTCCACCAATATCCTTTTTTCTCCACCCCTATCCTACCCTACCCCCATTGTTGCCTATCTTTCCCAATGGGAGGCGCACAAGCCTCTGCAGAGACCCCAGGGATAGGAAGTCTCCTCCCCCATGCCAGGCCTTACGAGCCAGGGTCCTGCCTGGCTGCCTTGTGCAGGGGTCTGGAAGGCAGAAGGTGAGGGAAGGAGAGAGCAAGAGGGCTGCAGTTTTAGTCTTGAAGTATCCTACACCTTCAGAAGCAACGTGGCCTGACTCGCCCAAAGGGAAAGGCTCAGCCCGGGGCTGCACCCCCTTAAGGCGTGCAAGTGCTCAGCAGGGATCTGGCGGCTAACACCCCCCTTTTCTTCCCACAACCCCTTCTCTCCTGCGGGGGTACTTACTGGGTCTCCCATCACTCCCATCCCTCCCCACCTTCCATGACCAACAGCAAAGGCAATCTCTGTTCTGTGGCTCTCCAAAGGATTTTATTGGTTGTATTTACAACTATTGCAAATAGCGAAGAGGCAGTGCCGGCCACACCTCAGACCTCATCCCTGCTCCGGAATGTGAGGACCTGGGGATGGAGCCCCAAGACGCACAGACAATGCTTGCCCCTTCCCTCAAGGAGTCCTGGGTTCTGGGCCCAGCCAGGGGCTGCCTCCTCAGCTCAAGGCACAAACGCTATGTTAGGGGCGGGCACGCAAGGCATGGGGTTATTCCTACAAGGGATCGGCTGGCCCAACCCCCTTCTCTTCCCTGGTCCTGTCTTCTTTCTTCCCCTTCTGGTCCCAAACCAGGCAGGGCCTGGTTATGTGGCCACTTAGGCCCCTAGACCATGGCCATTCCCCCTGAGGCTGGAGTCCGTGGCTTGGGGCAGCTTCCTGTCCTCATGAAGCCACAGGTGGACAGAGGCCATTAAGGGGGTGGGGTGTCCTTGGCTATAGATGGCCTGGTAGGACCCCACTGTCCTCCCACTCTAGAGCTTCCCTGTTCCTGTATGGCCCCAGAGGGCAGAGCTGAGAGAAGTTTGGGGGCAGGGGAGGGAGGGACAGTGTTTTTCCCCTGGATCCTTGGCTTCCTGCTGACTACGGCCAGCATCTCCCCAAGTCAAGAATGAGACCCTCTCTGACCACCTTGGCTGCTGTGAGGAATCAGGGCCTAGGACCCACACGCTCACACTTCATCTAGAGGCCCTGGCTGGCAGGCCATGCGGGCACACAGGGCACAGGACCCGGGCCAGCCTGGAGGGACCTGCTGGGAAAACAAGAGTGAAAGACCTCAGGGGGACCAGGGGCAGGAGGGTGTGTGTATGTGGAAGTATCCAGTTTGGCCCAGTCAGCTCCTGCCTATGCCAGGAGGCGAACGACCCCATTGTCCGAGCCCAGCAGGAGGTGGCGCTTGGTGGGCAGCAAGGCCAGGCTGGTGAGGGTGCCGCGGAAGTTCTCAGAGCTGAGCTTTGTGGTGGCCTGGGAGGGTGGCTCCAGCAGCGAGCAGATGCCAATCTTGTTGGCCACGGTGCCAGTGACCACCTCACTGCCATACAGGTCGAAGGTGTGGATGGGGTCAGAGGCAGACTTGTAGTGGTGCGTGGGTTTCTGCTCCAGTTCCTTCCAGACGGTCAGCGAGTGGTCAGAGGAGGAGCTGACCAGGACACTGCCCTCCACCGCCTGGCAAGGGAAGACCAAAGCCTCAGCAACAGCTGCAGTGCTCCCAACCACCCACCATTTCTTCCCACATGTCCCAGGGCAGGAAAATATGTTCCTGTGAGAAACAGGCTGCCGCCCTCTCATGTCATGTGATGTGGATTCGAGGTTGCTGGCTTCAAGAACCTGTATGGGCAGGCCCACATCATCACATTTAACCTTCATAGACCCTTGGGATGGAAGATGCTGCCATTGGCCCCATTTCACAGAGGGGAAGATAGAGGCTGACAGTAAGCAGTCATAGAACCAGGAAGCAGCAGAGTGGAGATGAGCCCTAGTCCACCCTGTTGGCCTTTTCTGAGACGTCCCCCGGGGGCCTGTGACTGAGGATGTGGGGGAGGTAGAAGGATCTGTATGGCCAGGCCTGTTCCTGCTCCCAACAGGGGCAGCCCAGCAGGGGGCATGGACTCTGCTCAGTGATCCGGGGGCAGTAAACAGCCTCGGCTGAGCTTTATTTAACCTGAATGGGTCATGGACAGGGCCCGACCCTGATCCTCCAAGTAAGGCAAATATGGATAAGAGTTATTCATTAGAACACCTCTGTGCAGAGGTGGGGTCAGCTCTACCCCCTGCTCCTGGGCCCCCAAACCTGCCTCCTCCTGAGGGTCCCAACAGTTCTTGAGCAGGTATTAAGGAAGACCAGCTGCAGCCTGGCCTGGGGCCAAGCTCTCAGCAGAGGTGAGGGACTGGAGCTTGGGCTGGGCGTGGGGGCCATGGGGACCCAGCCCGTCACCTTGATCTGCAAGATGTCTCCCTCATGGGCTGGCCAGCCTCGAAGAATCAGGCCCGTGCGGGTGTCCAGAAGCACCATGAAGCCCGATGAGAAGCCAGCCACGACGCTGCGGCCACTGGGGCTGACGGCCAGGGAGCGGACCAGCCCAGGGTTCAACCCGCCCCCCAGGCGGAACTCGTGCTGTGGGCAGAGGGAGATCCAGTAAGGCACCCCATCGCCTGCCCGCCCACTCTCCCTGAGGTCCTGCTCGCCACCTGAGCACACGGAACAGGAAGGCCCAAGCTTGCCACCTCCAACAGGGGGACAGAAAAGTCCAGAACCCGCCCCCCACCCTCGCAGGCCAGAGTCCGCTCCTGCCAGGCTTTGCTGCTGGGGATGATCTACTTCCAACAGGAGTTAACAGGAGCCTGGGGACAAGTCTGGGCTTTCTCTCTTGGTTGGTCCTTCCTTCCTGCCTGCCAGGCCCCGGCCCAGGGAACTGGGGGCACCTGCAGGCCAGGCTTCCTGCAGTCCACAAAGCGCAAGGTCGAGTCAGAGCTGGCCATGGTGATGCTGGTGTATGGGGCAGGCATGACAGCCACAGCGGTGAGAGGCACGCGGCTGTCCAATGGCTCCACCACACGGAGGGTCTTCCCTAGAGAGGAGAGACACGGCGCATCTGAGCTCTCAGCTGCTCAGGGAACCAGCCCTACTCCTCCTTCCCTCCGCCCTTCCAGCCCCACTCCCACCCCCCGCCCCTTCTCCCTGGGCTCCCACACCCATGCCCCCTGCCAGCCCTTCCACCCAGGTTCCCACACCCCTGTCCCTGCACCCCTCAGTCCTCCCTTCCCCACCAGACCTGCCTCTCATCCCACAACAAGGCAAACGCCAAAGAAACTGCTTCATTTGCCACCCTCCCTAATCAACGATCAGGCCAAGCTGCCATCCCCCAGATGGCCTCTTCATTTTGCATGGCGCTGCTTTTTTTTCATTCTCCTGGCCCCCGACCACTGAGCTGTTTAAACCCTGTTATCCCCCACTCCCATAATGATGCCAAAAGGAGACAGCACAACCCCTGGCCAAATACACACCCCAGTTTTGAAAATTACACTGAGGCTCCCCCATAGCCAAGTGACTTGCTTCAGGTTCCCTAAGGTGGCAACTGACAGGCTAAGCCCAGGCAGCCTTGACAGAGGCCTGGTGGGACACCGGCCAGCAGCGCCGGAACAGGCCTCACCTGGGCCCGCTCACCTGTGAAGGGGTCCCAGACGTGCACGGCCCCGTCACAGCTCACCACGTACTGCGGGGCCTCAAGCTGGCCCACATAGAAGACACTCTTGCGATGCTGAGCATAGACGAGGCGCGGGGCGGTCTCCCGGGTACCATCCCCGTAGTTGTAGAGTGGCCAGAGGCGCACGGTGCGGTCCTTGCTGCCGCTGAGGAAGAAGTCCTCACTGCTCAGGGGCGCCACACACTTGACAGCTCCCGAGTGGCCCGGGAAGCTCTGCAGGCGGATCTGGTGGAAGTGGAAGTGGGCATCCTGCTGGCTCACGCCAATCTCGTACTGCCAATATGCCAGCCAGTTGCCGCTCAGCCCGTGCGCGCTGCGTGGCAGCTCCCGCTTCAGGGCATTGTCCTCCGTCCCGCTGCCGCTGCCCCTGCCGCTGCCACTGCCACCAAGGCCTCCGCTGCCCACCCCAGACATGGGGCCCAGTGGGCCGGGGCTCTCAGGCTGAGGGTCATGGGGGATCTGGATGCGGTTCCCCACCAGGACGCTCCCAAACGTGCCCGAGTGGCCGTCGTCTTGGGGGCAGCCGCCGCCAGGGGGATCTCGCTCAGGGCTGCTGCTGCTACTGGGCATGGCGGGTTCCATGCCAGCAGGGTTGTGCCTGCTCTGGCTGATGCTCTCCAAATACAGCCCTGCAAGCTCCCCTACCAGCTCGTGGTTAGGGATGACTTTCCGGATGATGTCACCTGGAAGGGTAAGGGAGGGGGACTCAGGTCAGGCAAGACAGCAGGTGGGACCCCAAAGGCAGGGCAGCTGATGGCTATGCAACCCCAGACAAGTAGCTCCTCATCTCTGAGCCACAGTCTCCTCCCCAGGGGAAAAAAATTATATATATATATATTCATTGAGTAAATGCAGAGATCTCTGCACTGGGCCCATGGTCGGGGGGGTGTTGGAAATGGGGCAGTGAGCTGGGCAGAGGGTGTCACCAACGACTCCAATCAGAGTTAACACCAGGCATGGCATCTGGGGGGGCAGGGGAGCCCCTCACCCTCCTCCAGGCTGCTCTGAAGACCATGGGCACCTACTTTAGCCTGACTCCCCTGCCTTCCCTGTGGGATTCTGGGGACCACTTGCTGAGCCTAGGATCAGGGAAGAGCCATGACTCTGGAGGCCATGCGAAGGGGCGTGGTGGGGCAGTACCCAACAGGCAGGAGAAGGGCACGTAGATGGTGTATGCCATCTCCAGGGTGAACACCTTCTGCAGCTCATCCAGCAGGCTGGGGTCCACTGGCCGCTGCTGCCCATCGGAGAAGGCCACCTCCGGAAGCTGGCCCTCGCTGCGGCCCACGGGATCTGGCTTCAGCTCCTATGAATGGGAAACCTGGGGAGTCAGGCATTTTCACAGTGCCTGCGCCCCAGCCCTTTCCTGGGCTGGCCAGGTCTGCCCACCTGGTGCCGAAGCTCATGCAGCTGCGAGAAGACCTGAAAGAAGGCGGCCACGGGCTCGCTCAGGTGCTGCTGGACCATCTCCTGACCAATGCGCAGGCAGATGAGGGCGATGAGGCTGATGGTCTTGACGCATAGGACGGTGCGGGCCTGGGCCCCACTTGGGAACCTAGGGAGATGGCCATGAACTAACTGCAGCCCCTTCTTCCATGCCCATGCCACCCTACAGGACTCAACCAGTCTAGCCAGAGCATCCACCAAGAGGATTTCCGTGACCAAATAGTCTGGACAAATTGAGGAAACTGAGGCAGGGAGAGACTAGTCACCAGGCCAACCATTACTGTCCCTCTAAGCTCAGCAGTCCTGCTTGTGTGGGTCCCTCCTCCAGGCAACTCCCACTTGGTGCCCGGTAAAACAGGGATTGGGGAGGGGGGGCCTACCCAGTGACCAGGGAAGTGAGAAAGCTCAGCACGGGCAGCAAGACCTCGTGACTGATCCGGGGCAGGATGTCCATGAGGGTGGTGTCCGAGAGGTACACAATGATCTTCTGTGTCAAGGTCACGGCAGCCAGCAGCCCTGCCTCCTTGCGGCTGTTGAGCCGGCTGGGCCCGGAAGCGCTCCCAGGCGCCACCTGAAGTCACACAGAACAGAAAAAGATGGGCCAGGCTGTGCCTTTTACAGAATCCTAGGGGCCCCAGAACTCCCACAGCTCCTCAGCCTCCCTGTCCCGGGGACCTGCCAAAACCGGGGTGACTGACCAGGTAGCTGATGTAGGGCAGGTACTGGTAGGTGAGGACCGGCTCCCCATACAGGTGGGCGATGTGCAGGAGGCAGCTGAGCACGGGTGCCGACACGATGTCGCCCAGTACTGGCCTCCGCTGGTAGATGCTGCCGGCACTCAGCGGGGGGCTCTCCCCACTGCTAACCATGAATTGTTGCCGAGTGGGCCCTGCCAAGGAAGGACAGGGACCTGAGCAAGGAGGGGGGCCTTCCAGGACTGCAGTGGCCACTCCTGCTCCCTCTAGTCTGTACCCATAGAAGGAAGGACTGGGCCACAAGACCTGGCCAGGAAGTGGTGTAAGGTGGAGGCAGGTGGAGACCCCCCCTAGACCAAAGAAGGGCTGGGATCCCCTGTGCCAACCACAGGTCTTACCAACGTAACAAGAAGTGAGCAGGCGGAGCAGGTTCCGGGCCACATGACGGGAGGCTACAGTGGGGCCGAGCTTGGCGGACAGCCAGCGGACCATCTTGCAAGCAGTATCTGCCGGCCGGGAGCAGGCCCTGAGCTCATCAGATAACAACGGCTCACCCCACCCCGGTCCTGTGTGGAGCCCAACCAGGGCCTGCCCTTTCCTCATTCCCCATTGCAATTAGCAGGGACAGAGGCCCTGGCCTGTAGGCACTAGGCTGCTGCAGCCTCCTTGCTCAGTCAGCAACTCCTACAATGACCCCAAGCTCCTGAAGGAGGCCTACCCAGCCTGGCTCCCCCTGTGCCCCAGCCCCTCCTTCTTCTCCCTCCACAACTGTATTGCAATGACAGCAGCCTCAGAACCTCACACAAGGGCCAGCACTGTGGCACAGAGCATTAAGCTTCCACCTGTGACACTGGAACCCCATAGGAGTGCCGGTTCTAGTCCTGGCCGCTCCACTTCCCATCCAGCTCCTTGCTAATGCTCCTAGGGAAAGCAGTCGAAGATGGCCCAAGTGCTCAGGCTCCTATCACCCATGTTAGAGACCCAGATGGAATTCCAGGTTCCTGGTTTCACCCTGCTGTAGCCAGGGCCATTGCATTCATTTTGGGGAGTGAGCCAGTGGATGAAGATTCTGTAATTAGTGTTTCTAATAAACAGATCTTGAAAACACAGACCTCTCCCTGGGCCTGGGGTGCTCTTTCCCCTTCCAACCTTGCCTCCCTACTTTCTTCTCTTGCTTAAATGTAAACTGCTGCCTTCCCAGGAACCTTCTCTGAGCTCCAAGCCCCATTCCCACTCCCCCTCGGCAGCTCACCCTGCTCCTCACAGCACTAACAGCAGACTCCCTGAGGCCTGCTCTGCCTCAGGAGGCAGGCCCACACCTCCCTCACAGCTGGACCCAGCGGGCACTCAGCAGCCCCTGAAGGAAAAGCAGCACCAACTTTAGGCTACCCTTCCCAGCCCCCCAGGACTTACCAAGCAGGATCCTCTGTTCTTTGCCTTCCATCTGCCCAGTCAGTGGCTCCTCCTCTTCGTCCTCCTCTCCCCGGCTGTCACCGGCCACGACGGTCTCCATGGACAGCACCGTGTCGGACAGAGTGAGCTCTGATGCCCCCGTGACCTCCTCCTGCTCCCCCTCCTCCTCTTCTTCCTCTAACACCACGCAGCCTTCTTCTTCTTCCTCTTCCTCCTCCGAGCCCTCGCTCTGCTTCAGGTCCTGGCTGCTGTCCCCTGACCTGAGGCTGTTCTTGTCCACTGGGGCACATCCCTCATCCGCAGTCCGTTCTTCTCCCAGGGAGGTGTCGCTGGTGCTGCTCTTGTCACTCAGCCGGCCCAGACTCACAGCCTCAGCCTCCTGGGGCTGCGGAGACCCCGCCACGTAGAGTCCGGCTTGGAAGTCCTCAGTCTCGGGGAGATCGGCTTGGTCGTGGAAGCTGACTCCAGACGTGTAGTCGGGGAGCCCCAGGCCCGAGGCAGCTGCAGGCTCCTCATCCATCGGAATCTCCTCTCCAAAGGCACAGGAGCCTGGAAGCTCGACGTCCTCATCCTCGGCGGCCCCCGCCAGGCCCTTGCTCTCCTCCTGGGAGGCCTCCACACCTGCCAGTACCTGCAGCACATGGGGCAGCAGGTGCACAAGAAAGGCCTGCAGGCCCAGCCGCACCATCAGCTGGGCCACAAAGCAGTCCGTGTACAGGTAGAAACGGCCGTGCAACTGCCAGGGGCTTTCATAGGCGCCAATGAGAGGCTTCAAGAGGTACTTATTGGCATTCCTGGGGCCCAGCGCCTTGGCAACAGGTTCAAATAGGTACCAGGCTGTGTACACAGCCGTGTGCTCCTCGCCCATGAGGGACAGCACGAAGGGCAGCAGGATCTCCAGGCCTTCGGGGGTGATGTCGCTCAGCACTGCACCCAGCTGCTGCCACAGAGCAAACACCAGCTCCCGGCCCTGGGCTTCATCCTCCACCCGCCTTGCCTGGTATAGGAGGATGAACTTGTGCAATGCTGGGAAATATGGAGGGAAGGGCACCACCAAGCTGAAGGGGCTGAGGAGCTGAGCCGGGCTCGGTGGGGGCAAGCCCTGGGAGACAGGCCTATATTTGAATAGTGGGGCCAGTTTGCCCCATTTGGCCACTGTGAGCCCTTTCGGCCCACTCAGTTGCAGGAGTGTATCCAATACGGGCTGCAAGGACACAGGAACCTCCTTGGGGTGACGTGAGCACAGCTCCCGCACAGCCTCAAAGCGTACCCACAAAGGCGCATCTGGTTGCAGTGTCCGGACTCGAGTGGCAAACACCATCTCGGCCAGCAGGACACCCAGAGCCTGCATATCCCGCTGGAAGAGATCTTGCAGCTGCACAGGCGGCTGGGCCCGGGGCTCTGCGGGCACCTGCAGGTGGCCCCCCAGGCCTTTGGCCAGGAAATTGCCCATTTTTTCCAGCTCCTCAAGCGCCTGCATAGGATGGAAACCCTCGGGGAGGAGGATCTTCCCCTCCTCGCCCTCCGCAGGGTCTGCCCCGGTAGCCTTGTTCCTGCGGCTAGGCCGGGACGTCGAAGCCACTGAGAAAGACAGGAGGCCAGCGGAGGTTTGGCTGGAGGAGCCCGCCGGCTGGTCCCCTGTCTTGCCAGCCACAGAGATGGAATCCAGAGCTTCAGTAGCCTGCTCCAAGTCATCCTCCCCAGCCCCAGGCCTGTCCCTGGTCCAACCGGCCTCACAGGGAGTGGCCTCTAAAACCAGCCTGCCTGCCCCATTTGTGAACTGTCCTTGAACGTCCTCCTGGCCTGTGGTCTCCTGGATGGTCTGTACCAGTAGTCGGGGGATGTGAGGCGGGTCAGGGGCAAGGGTAGGCGGCCCAGTCAGGCGCTGGGGGTGCGGCTGATCGAAGAGCTGCACCACGCCATAGCTGGTCAGGTGCGTGTGTGCGTCCACCAGGTGCAGACACACGTTCTTCTCCTTCACGGCCTCTTTGCCCTGGAGTTTATAGCCAAAAGTGAGGTCGATCCAATGGTGCAGGTCCCGCGACACCTCCTGGCTCTCTAGCAGTGCCCGGTGGGCAGCCACGAACTCCTGGCTGGAGCCACACCAGGCTGGCACATCCAGGTCAGGCATGTCGGGGTGGATGGAGCAGAAGATGGAAGGATCGGTGTAAAACTCGGGGATGCACTCGTCGGGCGTCCAGCTCTGCATGCGTTCCATGCTGGCGGGGTACTCGTGAGGTTCCCACTGGGCCCGGACATGCCCGCAGAGCACCGAGCGGGGGGTGCGCCGAGCCTTGTACACATAGTACGTGATATCGGAGAGTACGTCTGAGATGTGATGGGGGACGTGGGGTGGCTCCCCACCGCCCGCCCCGCCCCCAGCTACAAACGCCTGCCGTGTCATCTCGTATGTGAAGTCCAGCTGCTTGTCGCCTTTGTTCAGGCGGAACTTGGACTTGCGCAAGTCCCGAAAGCGCCCATGGGGCACAGTGAAGTCCACCACCCAGGGCAGCACTGGGTGGTAATTGGGATCCCCCTCCCGACGACCCGCCAAGCGATTCAGCTGCATGAGGTAGTGAAAGTTGCTGATGCGGCCATGCACCCAGTCGAGCACCAAGCCCCTCAGCTCCTCTTGACAGGTGCGACACCTGGGGCCCCTTGCCCCCTCTGCTCCAGACTTCCTGTCTGCTGCATCCCTCCCTCCAGGGTTCTCCTCCTCTTCTTCCAGACTCTCGTAAGCGCCCAGGTCCAGCCGCAGCTCGCTGCACAGCCTCTCATCCACTGCGATGTGATGCAGAGACAGGGCCCCGCAGGCCAGCCCCTGGCGGTGACAGGCGTCCATGGCTCTCAGCACGCGGAAGAGGAGGAAGAGCACTTTGGCTTGGCTGTTGGTCAGCTTGGCTGGACTAAAGGTGACCACATCGTGCAGGGAAAATTGCACGTAGGGGTGTATAACATACAGCATCTTCGGTGACTCCAACAGGGCCTCCGCTCGCAGGAGACTGGGGCAGGCAGGGCTGCCCTGCGGGAGGCCGGGCCCATCTCTGCCAGACAAAGACGACGGGGCCTCGCTGGCCTCCCCGACTGGCAGGAAAGGGCAGCCATAGACCCTCTGCAGAGCCTGCCGAAGAAACTCCAGGGCAGGGCGGCCCGAGGGCGTCGGGCTGTGACTGTAGGGTTGAGCATGAGCGTGGTAGGCACGGCGCCACAGGTTGCGGTAGTTCTGGGCAGCCACATCCTGCATGAAGCGCGTGAGAGTCTCTGGGTTGCATGACGCCCCCTCCTCGAAGGGCAACCCCCCACTCAGCGGGTAGGCCAGTCTCCGCTTCCTCAGCCCGTGCACCTCCACTCGCGTCCAGCCCGCGGGCAACTTCTGCACGGAGCGCTGCAGGAGAGTCCTGACTTCCGCCTCGCCCAGGCCCTCTGCCCGCGGGCAGGGTCCCAGGCGGCGCTCGCGGAGGCTGGCCAGCCAGCGCGCGGGCACCAGGGCCACCACGTGGGTGCCCCCCGGAGCCGGAGCCAGCTGCCGGGCATCTATGTTCAGGTCCCTCTCCACGCTCCGGAGCAGCTCCTCCATGTCGGGGCTGGGCGGCGGCGGGGCCCAGCCCTCTGCACCCCCGTGGTAAGAGCAACTTCCCGCCCCCTGAGCCCCTGGGCCTTCTCCTCCCGGCCCCCTGGGGTGGTGGGGGGCAGCGCGCGGGGCTGAGCCCGGCCACAGCCCTCCTCGCTGTGGCTTCCGGGGTGCCAGGCCGGGCTGGTCGGGCTGGGCCAGGGGCCGGAGCCGGGGTGCAGGCGGCTGGGGCGCGCCGGCGGCCAAGGAGAGGGAGGACGGGGAGCCGCGCTTACCCCCCTCGGTAGGGTCCTGGCGCTCCGGGCATGGCGGGGCAGGGGGCTGCGGGGCGCCAGCGCCTAGCTCCTCACCGTGACGGGTCAGCTGACGCGGCTCACGTGACGCACCGCACGGAAACAACCGCACGTGGCTCCGGAGGGCCGGGCGGGACCTCGCCTTCCGCCCCGGGCCCCGCGGCCTGCCTCCCCGCGCGCCCCGCTTGCCCCGCGAGCCGGCCCAGTTCCCGATGTGGCTTCCCCCCAAGGCGCGGGATGGGGCTCCTGGTGAGGCAGAGCCCGCGGAACCTCTCCTCCCGTACCTGCGGGCCCCTGGGAGGCTTTCCTCAGAGATGGCCGCTTGGGAGGAAGGATTAGCTGGATGCAGAGCTGGGACCTGACACGAAGCCCCCCGTCCTCCTCCTCCACGCTGTTTCATTTGCCCCAAGTCCTAGGCTGGTTACAACGTTGCTATAGGGCCCTCACGACAAGTCGCCGAGAGGTAGGGAGGATGGTTTTTTGCTCTTGGTGTTTTGCAAGTGCCAGCCAAGAGCCCCCCAAAAGGAGTAGGAGTCCCCGAAGCTGGGTGCCCAGGCGCCTGCCTGCCTGGGAATCCTCGCACCTGTTTTTAAACTCCAAGAGAGCTGAGGGAGAGAAGTGAGTGGCCCAGGCCCCAAGACCTAAGGTTGTTGGAAAGGAAATGTTCTCCCTTGAGACTTTCTGTTGGGGCTCTGCTGCTGTGGTGTGGGTGTGCCCCAGAGCCCGCTGGCTGGGGCAGGATGGAGAGTGGAAATCCAGAGCTGCAGCCGACTTCTTGGAGGGCGGGACACAGTGAAGCCGCTGGCTCTGCCTTTTTGGAGTCGCACTCCTCCTTGGAGTTTACCTCATGCCGGAGTTGGGGGCTCCCCCTGAAAAAGCACTGGAGAACAAGGAAAGGCTAAATAGGAAAGGAAGCAGGAATGGCTCCGCCTGATCCGATTCCTCTGTATCCTCCTTGTCAAAGGACAGCTGGAGCCCCTAATGGGGTTGGTCACATGATATTGACCATGCATTTATCATGGGTTAAGCACTTTGCATATCACCACTCTCCAGCACTGAGCACTGTCCAGGGAGTGGGGAAGGGGTGGGTAAAAATCACAGTGACAGTTGCGTGGCTGCCATGGTCCTGGTCCAACTCCCTGCGGGTGTACCCAGGAAAGCAGCAGAGGATTCACTAGCTTGAAGTCATGAGCCGGAATGCCATATGTGGTCTTTCTCACGGGTGTCAGGGTCCCAGGCACCCAAGCCATCATGTAGCAGGAAGCTGGATCAGAAGTGACACAGCTAGGATTCAAACTGGCACCCCAGAATGGGATGCAAGCATCCCAGGCAATGGCTTAACCGGCTAGGCCCCAGTGCCTACTCCACTACTACTCTTTTAAATATCTGTAAAAGATTTAAGTTTTTATTTGAAAGGTGGATTTTACAGAGGTGAAAAACAGAAATCTTTCATCCACATGTTCACCCCCACCCCCCCGAAACGACTGCAACAGGTGGAGCTGGGCTGGTCTGAAGCCAGGATCCTGGAGCTTCTAAATAGGCCTCCCACGTGGATGAAGGGGCCCAAGGACTTGGGCCATCTTTTCCAGGCACATTAGCAGGGAGCTGGGCTGGAAGTGGAACAGCCAGGACTCCCAAGAGGTACTCATATGGAATGTCAGCACCACAGGCAGGGGCTTAAGCTACAATGCCATGGTATGCCTCCCATCACCCTTTCAAGAAGCTATTCTTCCATCTTCCTCGCATTTTGATGCAAGGAAGGCTTCTACCTTAGGTAACTTGCTCAAGGTCATGTTACAAAGCTAAGAAGCAACAGAGTCAGAATTCAAAGCCAGGTACATTCCACTGTGAAATCAGGACTCTGGCTGTGCACACTGCACTTCCACCCCAGAAAGGTGATAATCATTTGTTCCTATCTGAGTGCCTAACGACAGAGCAGGTGTTTGTTATTATGTATATCTAATATACATATTATATATGTATATATATACATTTGAGGAGTGGTACTGTGGCACAGCAGACAAAGAAAGCTGTTTAGGAAAGCAGAAAATGGCACAAATCTTTGAGGCCCTGCACCCCTGTGGGAGACCGGGAAGAAGTTCCTGGCTCCTGGCTTCCAATCGTCTCAACACCAGCCACTGCATAGATTTGGGGAGTAAACCAACAGATGGAAGCTTCTTTTGCTTTTCCTCACATTCTAGAATTATGCCTTTCAAATAATAAATAAATATTTTTTAAAATATTTCTTTGAGAGGCAGAGAAAGAGCATGTCCATCTACTGGTTCATTCCCCAAATACCCGCTGTGTCATAGACTGGGCTAGGACCAAATCCAGAAGTGGGGAAGGCAGCCCTGGTCACCATGAGCCCAGCTGCTTCAGAGACATCACTTGCTGCCTTTAAGAATCTGCCTCCAAAGAGCCTCTGCTCAGTCAAATGCAGGTACTTGATGTGGGAGAAAAGCATTTTTACTGCCATGCTACATGCCAGCCCCTCGCCTACCAGTGAAACAATCCACTTGGTCCTGCCGTCTAGTCTGGGTTGACTTAGGCTGTGAACTGCTACTACTCTTCCTGCAAGTCTGCGTGTGCCCTGCCCTCTAGTGGTGCTCCCGCCCCACTGCAGCAGTGACCTTGAGTGTAACTTACCCTTATCTCTTGCAATTAATTCTCCCTTCCCTCTCCAGAATGCTGACGTCCTGTCCTTGGAATGTCACGCACTGATGTCCTGAAATTTCTAGTGTGTCCCTGTCTTACCGGATCTGAACTCCAGAGCAGTGGCATTCATGCTGTAGGGTGTACTTTTGGTTCCAGCATCTGGAGAGACCCACAACCCTGAATTTTGAACGAGCACCCCAGCTAATTCTAGTTCAGCAGCCTTTAAGCCACAGCCTGAGATAATCCTCTGAAACAGCTTGACTCCCAAATTTGCCTCTCCTTTCCCTCGGAAAAGCTGCCTTGGATCCCAACTCAAACATCCTTAGGCTTTGGGGAACTAGGACCCAATTAGCCATTCCCCTTGGCCAAGGTCAATGTTGGGTTTCCAGGAGATCATGTCTGGGATAGTCAGGGACTGCTATGGGCAGCAGGGGCGTGTTCGACTAGGAGAAAAGTTAGTGCACCAAGCACAGGCCCATGTGCCTGAGGCTGACTCTTCATTAATCCCCACCATGAACCATGAAGTTATTATTCCCCCTAGTTTGCAGATGGGGACATCTTCCATAAACTCACTGCCAGCCAGCCAGCCAGGACTGGAATTTGAGTTCAAGTTTGCCCGACGCAGTAGTTCTCAACTGGGGGTATTTGGGTCCCTAGAGGACACTCCATCATGTCGAGAAACACCCTGGGGTATCCCCATTGGGGAAGCAGAGAAACCACAGAGGGTGCTGAGCACCGTACTAAGCACTGAGCAGCACCCACCCACATGCACAGCAAGACATTGCCCGGTCTGCAATGTCAACAGTACCGACATGGAGGAATGCTGAGCTCCAGGCCCGTGTTTCTGGCCAGGCTGGGCTAGGGAATCGGGGAGCAGGACTAACTGGAGAAGAGCTGCCCCTGTGGGAAGGGGGTGAGCGGTCTCACACGTCAGGCTCATGGAGAAGGAGGGCAGCTGGTGAGGCTTTTTCTTCCCAGCTTGGCCAGGGCCCTGCTCGGCTTCTCCCCACCTTGCCAAGTCAGTCCCAGGACTTCTCACTAAGGCTTGTCCTAGAGTGACCCTGACTCCCAGCTCGGGGTTGGGGCAGCATGGTCACCTAGATCTCCCTGCAGGACTTGCCAGCCCCAGCGCCTGGCTGTGAGCTCCCCGCTGCACTCACTCCACCCTTGCTGCTGGGGCACAGGGTGGGGGAGGGAGAGCAGGGTGCCACTGGAAGTAAATAAAAACAAAAAAATGGAGCCACTTGGGGCAGGTGGAGGGGGTGCTGAAGAAAGTCTCCCCTTAGCAAGTCTCAGGGTGGATCTGGGGAGAGCTTCTGACCCCACAGCTGGCTTGCCACAGACTCTCTAAGGTTTCCGAGGACTGGCACCCACTCCCAGTTCAGCCACCACGCTGGGCCTCCCTGACTGGGCCTCCCCATCAGGCTGGAGAGGGCAGTCTCAGCTGACTGCTGGCAGGAAATACCTTGCGTTCCCGGGGAACCTCAGTGGAACAAGCCGGCTGGGTGGGGGAGGGGGAGGGACAACAGATAGTCTTGGAGCGATGGGGAAGAGGAGATCATGCAGTCATGTCCCCATATTTGGGGTTCCATCTCCTTCCTCTCATCACCCATGGTAGGAGAGAGGTGGAGGAGGGGATAGAACAGGGCGAGCGAGGAGGAGGAGGATGTGGTAACAGCTGATTCGTCCCCTGAGGTCACACTTTCCAACAATCAGCTGTTACTGGGGCGGAAGGCAGGAAGTTTCCTTAAAGGCACCATGTGCTGAACACAGGTCCAGAAGTCACCTGGCACGACTAGCCTGCACGTAAGGCAGACGGCATCATCTCCCCCCTGCACCGGCTTACCTGCCCTTCCCCCACACACCCCTGCTCTCGGAGCTACAGAGGGGACCTGGACCCCTCCCCACATCTCTGGGGGGGCAGTGGGAGAGGGGCGAGTCCTGCGTCGGGGTGGGTCCCACACTTGCTTTAAGTAAGCCAGCTTTTTGCCAAGTCATTGGGTCCGTTTCTGCCCATCCCCCGCACCTCTGGCCTCTGATTGGCCCCCGGGGGAAAGAACGGCCTCCTCATTGGTCTCCACCTTGGAAATCTCTTCCTTAAGTAGACCTGGGACTGGGAAGCGCTCCGGAGGGCGGGGCAGGTGGGGGTTCCTTCGGACGGGAGCACCCCGGCCTTGTGCACCCCCCTCATTTCGACTTCACTGTGAGAACTGTGCCAGCTCTGGCCCTCTTAGCAGGGAGGTCTGCCTGGGGATGGGCGAGGTGGGCCCAAGGTCCTCAGGGGCTTCTCCTGCTCCACCTTCAGCCCGGCCCACTCCTGGCCGCTCCTGCCGCTCCACCTTTCCTTAGCGAGCCATCACCTCCTCCGGAAGCCAGCAAATCCGCTCGGGTGTTGTCTAAAAGCAGCACTCGCGGCTCGGAGAAGAAGGGCGGTAGCCCTTTAAGGACTTCCCCAGAATGAATCGGGAGAGGAGTTTAAAAATGCCAACTCACAGAGCGCGCTGGCTTCTGGGAACGAGAACTACATGGACCAGCGTGCCCTGCCAACACACGCCTCTCCTTCCTTCTGCTCGGCTTTGACGTAGCGCCCTTCCCAGCGAGTCGCTCGGGCCCAGGGCCGGGCCACACCTTGTCACCCATTGGCCAGCTCCCGAGCTGGCAGGCGGGGCTTAGCGCCACTCCCGGACACCAAGGGTTGGCCTCCTTGTCAATCAAAGTCGAGGCGACCGGAGGGGCGGGACCCGAGGCGAGGTGCTGGCGCCCCGAGTGGGTGTGGTCACGTTGCCCGGCAGTGGGCGGTGATTGGCTCTGGGCGGTGCGATCGCGGTTTGTGCGTCACGACGCCGCCAGCTGATCGGAGACTGGAGCCGGTGTGTGCTGGGCACTGGGAAGAGACAGCGCCGCCGGCCGTGGGGAGCGGACGCGGTGGTGTGCGCCCCTGCCCTCAGCAACCCCCACACCCAGCACCAGGTGGGTGCTAGCGGGGAACCCGGTCCTACAGGGCGGGGGGAGAGCCGTGGTGAACGGGGTGACGGGGGAAAGTGGGGTCCTGGCGGCCACACCCTGCCCTTCCGGGGGAGCGGCGGGGGCGACTCGGACCGAAGGGGCCTGGGCTGGCTGGGGCAGCGGGTCAGGAGGACCACGGCGAGCGTTCCGGGCCAGAGTCGTGGTGGGAGGTCTTCCTCTGGGAGGAAGATGGGGTGTCGCCCGGGGGCGCTGACCCCGGCGCCCTCGCGTCTGAAGGGGATACGGGAGCCGGTCATCCGACCTGGGAACGATCGGGACGGAGCCGACTGCGGAGGAGAAGGAGGAACTGGGCCTCCCCGGGACAGGACCCGGTTCCGCGTCCTGGCAGGGAAGGGGTCTCTGGGCGGGCCGGCCCCTCCTCTCGGTCCCTCCGGGGGATGTTATGTAAGGGGGGAGGGGAGAGGAGTAGGGGGCGGCGGTGCGGGGGGCCTTATGCAACCCGGAGGTTAGGGTTTCACCGCGGTTGGGCGGGGAGGAGGGGAAGCGGGCAGGAGGAGGGCCTGGAAACTCTAACCGCCCCCCCCCTTCTCCTCAGCCTAAACTGGCTGTCTTGGACGGAGAGAAGGTCACCTCCCCAGCCTGTCCGGCAGTGAGGCCCCTCGCCCAGGCCTGGCCCTGACCGCCTGGGAAGCCGGCTGGCTGGGTGGGGCGCCCCGTTAGTCATCGCTGGGCTCCCTCCCGGCCAACTCCTGGCCCCTCCCCGTGGCCTCCGGCGAGGCTATCCCCCCCCACCTCCTTCTGGACCCAGTTCCAACCTCCAACTCTTTTGGCCTGTCATGCTGGCTGTCAGACTGGCCTAGGAGCTGTCAGGGTGCCAGGGGGTTGATGGAGCAGCTGGTGAGAGGGGTCAGTGGCCTGGGCCCACCCCGCCCTGCAGCCAAGGGCACCTGCTTGGCACAAGATGCCCAGCAGCCGTGGAGTCTTGCAGGCTGAACCATGCTGTCCCAGACTAAGGGCACTTGGGCAGAGTTGGGCTAGTCAGCGAGGGGAAGGAAGATATCACAAAGTTTGGGCTTCCCAAAAGGCTTTTGGAAGTTGTGCCCCACCAAGCCCCCCAGACACACACACCCTAATGGTTCTTACCCTCTGAGTGTACTGAGCCGGAGGCAGACCCTCCTGGGCCCTCTGAGTCTGGCCTGGGCCGTGCCCTTGGACAGTGTCAGCGCCCAGCCCTCGAGCCTGCCACGCCCCCAGCCCCCTCCCTGGGCCATGCTGCAGGGCCCCGGCTTTTCCTGCTGATTCATGCGTTGGAACTGTGGGGGCGGGGCTTGGGACTTGGAACAAAGTTCAGACACGGAGGGGCCGGCAGACAGCCTGGAATTCATACCAGATGTACCCGGAATGTGCGAGCGGAATGCCTGGCATCCCAGAGTCCAGAGGAAGCTGCCCAACCACCCTACCCGGGCCTCCCTCCCTCCCTCCCCGCCATCCTCTGCCCAGCCATCCTCTGCCTCACAGCCCAGGACCCTTCCTTAGCTGAGCCGCTCCCAAATTCTGACCTTCCTCCTCTCATGCTTCCCAGGGGCTAGGCCCACCCCACCCCCATCCTCAGCTGACTGCATCCTGCTGAATTCCCTGGAACAGCTCAGCTCAGCTCAGCTGATCCTTGCACTCACCTTTCTGGAAGACCTGAGGTACAGCTTGTCACCTGGTACCTGCCTAGCAGGTGGGGTGTGGCCAGAGTCCCTGGCTCTGCCCTTTCTGAGTGCCAGGAGGCTGGGGCCTCCCGTGGGTCGCCAGGGAAGAGGAGGCAGATGCCAGCAGGCCCCAGTTTCTGTCACCTCCATTTCCAGCCACAGGAGCTAGGAAGTCCTTTTAGAGCTATTCCTCCCCTCACTCAAGTTCACCATTCCTACAAGGCCCTTTTGTGAGGAGGCTGGCGCCCCTCCCCTGGGCGTGAGTGTTAGTGACCACTGGGACAGTGAGCCTGGATGCAGTCCTTCTCAGCTCTTCCCCGCCTCTCTCCCCTTGCCCTGTAGGAGCCGGTATCTCTCCTGCCCACCTGGCTGAGCCGCAGTAGTTCTTCAGTGGCAAGCTTTATGTCCTGACCCAGCTAAAGCTGCCAGTTGAAGAACTGTTGCCCTCTGCCCCTGGCTTCAAGGAGGAAGAGGAGGAGCAGCAGCTGCTTTCCTTGTCTTCTGGAAGGTGACAGACCAAGGGGTGGGAAGGGCTGACCAGTGGGGAGTGGAGGGATGAGGGGTGATACATTTTGGGAAGTGGCACGCAGTTGGAAAAGCCTACCCCCACGTTGGTTCAACAAGACAGCAATATTAGAGCAGAGAGGCTGGCTGGATGGGGGAAGACACTGCTCCAGCTGACCTAGTTTAGTCAGGCTTTGGGGAACAAAGGGAAGGAATGGGGGAAAGAAGATGCTGTCTGCCTGGTACCCACGTTCCTGAACTTCCCTGCCAGCCTGTGCAGGTGAGATCAGAAGTCGGCCTGCTCTGCCAGGGGGAGGTACTGCTGACACTCCTGCCCACAGGGCCACCCTGCCACCCTAGCCCCTCCCTGTATTCCTTAGGTTGGCCCGGAGTCTGAATCTAGAGGGACGCAGCTTCTGTGAGCCCACCTATCTCTGTCTCTTCACCTATGGGATGGGGCTCTGTCCTGATGGGCATGCATGCTCTCCTGTTGCTGTGAGTGCAAACAAAACAGACTTTTTTTTTTTTTTTAAAGATGTACTTATTTTTATTGGAAAGTCAGTTTACAGAAAGAAGAGACAGAAAGGAAAGATCACGTCCCAGGTGGCCACAATGACCAGAGCTGAGCCAGTCTGAAGCCAGGAGCCAGGAGCTCTTCCAGGTCTCCCATTCAGGTGCAGGGTCCCAAAGCTTTGACCTATCCTGCACTGCTTTCCCAGGTCACAAGCAGGGAGCTGGTTGGGAAGTGGGGCTGCCGGACACAAATCAGTGCCCATATGGGATTCTGGCACATGCAAGTGAGGACTTTAGCCACTAGGCTACCATACTGGACCCCAAAACAGCTTTGTAAAAGATGTGTGTATATAAGTATCTGAAAGGTAGCATCACAGAGAGGGATATCCAGAGTGAGTTCCTGTTTCAATGATTCACTTCCGCCATGGCCACAATGACCTGTTCAGGGCCAGGCCTCAGCCAGGAGCACCAGGAACTACATCCAGGTCTGCCACATGGCTCTGCTGCCTTCCCAGGCACGTAAGCAGGAAGCTGGATTAGAGGCAGAGCAGGACTCAAACCTGCACTGCATGGCAACTGGTAGCTCAACAGACTACACCACAAAGCTGGCCCCCAAAACAGCTTTTCACAAAAGTAACTATTCCATCCCTGCTGCTGACCAGGACCCCAATAGGTGAGGAGGGTGGGGAGTTGGAGGCGGGGGCCAGGGCCAGCGCCGGACAAGGGTCTACCAGCAGCTCCCACACATTGACTTAGGACAGGCAGTAGCGGCCAGAGGAGGAGGCAGAACTAGGTAGGGTTCCACTGGCCATTTTCCAGGCTTGTTCCCTTGTGTCGCCTTCCAGGCTGGAGTTGTACGATTCAGCAGCCAGGAGATCCACACTAGGGGAGAGGAACCCTTTGGCAGCATCCATCAGGGGCCACCTCCAACCCCTGACCCAGGCTCCTCTCTGGGGTGCATCAGCCTTGAGCCCCTGCCAGGTGGCAGCCTTGCTCAGAGGCCACAGGAAATGGCTTGCTCTGACTAGTGTGTCCAAAAGGTGTAAGGGAGAATGAGCCACTGCACCCGGAGGCAGGATGTGTGTGGGACAGCGGGGTGGGGGGATGGGGAGACCAGAGACTGCTCATGGGCTGCCATAAAGAGGACTCTGTCCCTGGACACGGCCTCCGCCCTCTCCGCCTCTCCTTGTCTCACTGGCCACAGCAGCTCCCTTCACCCTGGGTGTGTGGCTCTGCCGTCGTCACCTCGCAGAGGCGAGGAAGGGAGCAGAGATAGGCGGCCGACTGGCAAGGACACCAGGCCTGGAGCACCTGAGCCCCTCTCTGGGCATCTGGCAGGGTGGCCCAGCAAAGGTCAGAGGCACCTAGGATGACGGGACAAGGTCCACCTCCCACCTCACTCTCACAAAAATGTGGGACCCTCAGAATACATTGTAGCTGCCCCCTTCTCCCACCCTGCTGCCCACTCTGTCATGTTACAGCAGGAAGGAAATTCATAGAAGGTCAAGTGGGCAAAACCATGCCAAAAATGTACGCGTCGTTAGTAAATAAAGAAGGCAAACAGGGCAGGAAGCACAAACTATAAAAGAAAAGAACATGAATCTTGGCAAGTCCTGTGCCGTGTGAGTGCTGTGCACACCTGGTGTATGGGGGTGCGAATTGATGCGGACCTCCCAGAAGGAATGTGGGTACCAGCTATCACACACCCTAAACGTCCCCCTGTCCTGTGGCCTGGTTGTTTGACATCCTGGAATTCATCCCAAGAAAATAACTAAGGATTTAGTTGGGAGATACTCATCCCAGGATGGCTTACAGTGAAGGATTGCTTAAGTCAGTTACTGTGGATCTGTCCAGATGGTTCAGGACCACACAGCCAGTAAACGTCATGTAGAAGACATTTGGGAAGAAGAAAAAAAAAACTGCTCTTTGAATATTAAAAAGGTTATAAAAATAGAGCATATTATGTGATCTCAGTTTTATTTTCTAAAATATGAGTATGTACTTGTGTATATATAGAAACGATAAAAAAAGATGAAGACTACTCAAAAATGTTAATAGTGATTTGGATGATGGAATAAAGTAATTGTATTTTTCCTCTGGTTTTCCTGCAGTTTCCCAGTTCTGTACATTCATTGAATATTGTTCCCATTTGATAAATAAAATGTGAAAGATGAACATAGTGTTGGGAACCCGGAGGGTGGTGGGTGTGCAGGAAGGCAGGGGCTCCAGCGCCACACTGAGTGTTGGTTGGGAAGGAAGCTGCAGGCTTGCCGGCTTCGTTCCTCAGGAGTGCCTGGAATATCCACCCTGGGCACACGGGCCAAGGGTGATGGCTGCCAGCCAGCTGCAGAGGTGTGGCAGAGTGAAAACCTACCTGCACCCAGGTGAAGAGGGGCATGGCAAGTTCTAGAAACGCCACCCGCTGCTGCTGTTGGAAGCCTGTTGACTGTTGGCTTTCCTCCCCTGATTGTACCCCAACAGCCTGGTGACTGGAGTCTCTTCTCCCTGTGCCTCATAAGGGGGAAGACGTCTCCCTTCTGCCCACCAAGTCCCAAGCCTGGGGAAGATAATGAAGCACCTCCTCTTTTTTTTCCCCTGCGGCTCCTCTTGGGAGTGGGGGTGTAATGGAAGGGGACCCAATGGGTTGCTTGTCCTAAATGGGGGCTATGGTTCCCTCAGTTTAGGGGTGAGGGAGGGAACTGCTGAGTCTCAGGGTTCCAAAACACAGCGAATTAAGGGGTGGCTTCGTGGGAGACCCATTCCCTCTTCCCTCAACCTTGCCCCCCTGCGGCCTGCAGTGCAACCCCAAAGTTTGGTCAGGTGGAAGTGGATTGCGCTGGCCTCTGCCTTCGGGGCTGAGCGGATGAGTGGGCAGTGATAACGAGCAGGTGAGAGGCCAGTGAGTGGGCAAGACAAGGCTAAAGTTAGCGGGGCGGGCCCTGGAGTGTCAGGCGACATTGGCGTGGTGATGACCCATTGCTGGAACTCCATGGGGCTCAGCACAACCATAGTTAGGGATGAACCCACAAGCAGCCCAAGAACACCCGCCACCCCAAAGAGCTCCCTAAAACCACCTGGTGTCTGGGAGCCCCCGCCCCAACCCTGTGTCACCCCCTAGAGCTGAAGGCGCTTAGCTGCTGGAGCTGCTGGGGCGAGGGCCTAACGGCTGCTCCAATCGCTGCGCAGCCGCAGGACGGGGGCGTGGACGAGCCAAGAAAAGTTCCCGCAGATTCCGAAGGCGGGGCGGTCCGGGGAGCTCAGTGAGCCGCTAAGCCAGTGCGCGTGCCTGCTGGTGGCCCCGCAAGCAGGTCCCGCCGCCCTAGACACCCCTCCGGACCCAACCTGCCTGCCCAGCCATGACGCACTTGGGGCTCCTGGTGACCGGCGCCTCCTTCGCTGTCTTCCGGGGGCTGCACTGGGGGCTGCGGCTGCTACCCACGCCCCGATCTGCGCGGGACCGCTGGAAGTGGCGCAACATTTGCGTGTCGCTGATGCACAGCCTGCTGAGCGGGGCTGGCGCGCTGGTCGGGTGCGGGCTGGGGGGCTTTGAGCAAGCGGGGCGGAGGGCAGGGTAGAACACGGCGAGCATCTTCACTTGCGAGGTGAGAGCTCTGGAATGGGGTGCAAGGGCGCCACGAGGCAGGGGCTGACCCCACCCGCCCCGCATCTCGCCCAGGCTGTCGCTGTACCCGCAGATGACCACCGACCCGATTCATGGGCACCCGCCCTGGGCGCTGCTGCTCGTAGCTGTGTCTGTGGGTAAGTCTGCAGGGAAAGCTGTTGGTAAGGAGCTGCCTTGGAACCGGAGTTTCAGGGGACCCCGGCTGTGGGAGTATTGGTAAGGGGAGGAGGAGGGCTGGGCATCCCTCCCAGCCTAGGTCGCAGCTCTGGGACAGCCTAAAAGCGCCCTGCTCCTGCCCTTAGGTTATTTCTTGGCGGATGGAGCCGACATGCTGTGGAATCAGACTTTGGCCCAGGCCTGGGATCTTCTCTGTCACCATTTGGTGGTGAGACACTGGAAGCCCCCTGCCCCGGGGTCCCAGGCTATCTCCAGTTTTCTGTCCTCCAACTTCCTAGCTGGCAGCTGATCCTCCCAGGCTTAGGCTAGCTTGTGGGGGAAGGGACAGTCTGCTGGACCAACTGGGGGGTCTGGGTGCTGCCTGAGAAGGTTGGATCCCTGCACCTCTGCTAGGGATCACAGACTGTTGAATGCAGAGCTTTCCTGGGAAGAGGGAGGGAGCCCTGATGTGGGGTGTGCAAGCTTGGAATGGAGGGTGGATGCTGGGCCACCCCAGCTGTTTCTACCCTGGTAGGGCCTGCTTTAAGGCTGCCCCAAGATAAGGGCAAACAAACCAGGGGATTTGGAGAGGGTCCCCTAATGTACTCTGGAGCCCCTTTGGTGAGGATGGGACTGGGGGGCAGGTAGGCAGAGCACAGAGGCCTTCTGACATGTGACCACGGCTCCCAGGTGGTGAGCTGCCTCAGTACCGCGGTTCTGTCTGGCCATTACGTGGGCCTGTCTCTGGTGTCTCTGCTGCTGGAGCTGAACTCCGTCTGCTTGCACTTGCGGAAGCTGCTGCTGCTTTCTCACCAGGCTCCATCCCTGGCCTTCAGCATGACGAGCTGGGCCACCCTGGCCACCCTGGCACTCTTCCGTTTGGTGCCACTAGGGTGGATGAGCCTCTGGCTGCTCCGGGAGTATCACCAGGTGCCTTTTGCTCTGGTTATCCTTGGTGCTACGGGTCTGGCTACAGTGGGTGTCATGAGCATCACCCTGGGGGTCCGCATTCTAATCAACGATGTCCTGAGGTCGCGGCCATGCCCATCCGTCCCCAAGCACTAGGACACCCAGGAGCCCAGGACAGCTAACGGTGAACCTGTCACCAGGGACAAGTCTACTCTCAGCTGGAAGGATTAGAGAGATGCCACAGCCTTGTTTTCCTGCAGTGCTGGGGGACATGGGATCAGGATCGGGAGCTTGTACCCTCAGTGCCAGAACCCTTTCCACCCTGCCCCCGGCCAAGGACTGGACAAGATGACCAACATCTCAGTGCCTCTTCCAGCTAACTCACATCTTTCCCCGTCATAGCCTCCAAGAGGAATATGCTGATGTTGGTACTGGCTGGGTGGGAACCTGGGTTACTGTTCACTGAATTCCATCATCAGAGGACCAACTTTTCTAACAAATGAACTCAAATGGCCAGTGATAAAGGCTGGCAGGAGGCACAAAGCTGGAAAACACTCCCAATGGGAACAGATGAGGGAAGGTGAGGCCCTACCAGGACCGGAAGATCTGGTGTGAGTGGGGCAACAGCCAAAAGGATCTCACCTATGACCAAATTCTGCCCATGACAGTAGGGCACAGGGGATGTTATCTATAGCCGGTAGGGATGAAAGTTGCCAAGAGACAAATCTGGAACCACTGCCAGTGCTGCTGATATGTCTGGTTCTCAAAGCCACACCACAGATATTGAGTTGTATTTAACCCTAGTGCTTCTGTGTGCAGCCTTTGAAATATGTGTAGTATCTTCTGACCTTTTCAAAGAAAAATGTAGACTCTTAGAGAGAAATGAGCAGGGAGCTGGGTGTGTCTTCTTAAGACAGTGTTGATACCCAGTGCTTTTGTAAGGTGCTGGGTGCAGAGTCTCCCTAAGCCCAGATTTTCAGAGAAGAGGGCATCTAACAGAGCAGGCTCCCCGGACCACTGTCACCTCTTGCAGGGGAGGGAGTTCACTCACAGTCCTGCTGCTTCCTCTCTGCATTGCCTGAGAACCCTCCCTTCTCAATGAGAGCATGCAGGCCAGGGAAGTGTAGAGCAGATTAAAGTTGTTTTCCCACTGAACAAAACAGAGAGGTCCTCATCCCTCACAGAAAGGGTATAGAGCAAAGGTAAAAGAAAAAATAGGAAGAGCTTAAAAAATCCTAGGAGGAAGCTGAGGTGGAAAAAGAGCAAGGACAGCAACAGACAGACACACGTGGAGTGAGGAATGATCACGCAACAGACACCAAGGCAGAGGTGGAAGGTGGGGGGTGACTCCTGACAGAAATATCTAGAAAGATTGCTACAGAGACTGAGAGGAACCAAAGCTGTAAATTGACCAGAGGATGATAAACAAAGGTAAGAGAAAATGATAAAGGCAGGCAGACAGGGACCCCAAGAGTGGGAGGAAGGCATAGACAGTGAGACCGACAGACAAGGAGGAGCAGCCTGACTCCAGAGACACACAGGTGATAGATCCAGTGATGAACAGGGGGAGAGTGCAGTGGAAACAGCCCGACGGGGGCGAGGGGAGGAGACGCAGGATTCATCAGGGGAACTGAGCAGCAGACGGCAGAGGAGGCGTCCGTGGCAACAGCCAGGGACAGCAGAGAGAAACAGGCCATCTGTAGAGACAGGAAGACAAAGGACAAACAGCTACAGTGCAGGCACAGAGACGGGGCTGACAGCCACCGGTAGGCAGGGACTGGTGGGAAGACAGGCACCAGCCGGAGTCAGGGCTGAGCACGGAGACAGGAGACACCGGAGTAGGCAAAGAGGATGATGCAGACAGTCCCTGACAGGAGACAGGGGAGGGCCAGATCAGTCCTCCAGGTGTGCGCAGGAAGGGACAAAAAGGAAGGAGGGAACACGGAGCAGGAGAGAGGGGGACAGAGGGACTGTGAGAGCACTCCATGACAGAGACCTGGACACCTGGCTGTGTGGGAATGAGGAGCAAGCAGAGAGCGAGCAGAGTCTGAGGCAGCTGGAAGGAGAGCAGGAGAGCAGAGGTCTGGCCCAGCTCTACAAACAGAACCATGAGGGTTTGGTCCCAAACAGAAGTAGTATCTTCAAGACTCCATTGGTCACCACACCTGAATGACTTAGAGTGTTCTTGAGTTGTCCAGGAAAGGGCAGTGTGACAAACCCATGTGAGAAACTTAGTCCCCAAATATGCACTGAGGTCAAATGTGATCCTTTCCAAGTTATAGACCTGTTCTGTTACCACTATCAAAAATGCGTAGTTCAAGAAATAGCCCTGTTGGTAATATTTGACAATATCCATGGACTTGACCATTAGAAAAATATAGCTGTGGATCAATTAGTGTGGCCCATGCAGGGGGTGAGCCATGTGTCACAGCGTTATGGTTCAGCCTGCACTTGGGGTGTCTACATCTCACGTTGGAGTCCTGGTTCAAGTCCTGGATACTGTGCTTTTGATCCAGCTTCCTACTAATACACTCTGGGAGGCGGTAAATGACAGCTCACCTGCTTGTGTCCCTGTCACTGTGTAGGAGATGGAGTTCTAGGCTCCTGGATTTGGTGTGGTCTGGTCCAAAGTTGGCTGTCCTCATGCATTTGGGAGAATGAATCAGTGGGTGGGAGAACTCTTTCTCTTTGTGACTTTCAAGTAGATGAAAAAAAAAAAAAACATTTAAAAGCGAAAGGTGATGTGGTTCAAAGCAGAAGGGTTAATGGGAACTCTTAGTCAACTTCAACACTGCAGAGTTTGGCAGGTACTACACATGGTCAGATCTGATTGCCAAAACAACACTGTCGGCTCTTACTGTGGCCAGGTCAAGCGGTCCCTCGAAACTGAATCCATTCCTACCAAGCTTCCTGCTGGTGAATTCCTTGTCTTCCAGCATAGAGGAGCGGTTTTCCTGAGTGGGGAACATTGTTGTTTCTATTATGAAAATACAATCTTTATTCTAAACTAATAAATTATTATGCAAATACTTTCATTAGCCTCCAATGGTGTCCTGATTATATGTATATTTTTTTTTACAATTATTCATTTAAAGGAGTTACAGAGAAAAAGAGAAAGAAAGTATTCTCTCTGTTGGTTTGCTCCCCAGACCAGATTGAAGCCAGGAGCTTTATCTGGGGCCCCTGCATGAACGACAGGGCCCAAGCACATGGGACATCCTGCCATTAGCAGGAAGCTGGGTCGGAAGTGGAGCAGTAGGGACATGAACCAGTGCCCAAATGGCATGCCAGTGTTGCAGGCAGTGGCCTTACCCACTGTGCCCCAATGACAGTTGATGGCACCCTTAGATTGCATTGATTGCTTGTGAAAGTTTTGCTTTTAAAAAGTTTGTTCTTCCCAGTAACATGCAATGTCCTAACATGCTTTAAGATTCTCTACTATGTAAAACACAACTGGAGATAGATGGTTCATGTAAAAAAGCCTTGTGACCCTGCACCCATGTGAGAGACCCAGAAGAGGTTCCTGGCTCCTAGCTTTGAATCGGGGAAGCTCTGGCCGTTGCAGCCTCTTGGGGAGTGAATCATTGGACAGAAGATCTTCCTCTCTGTCTCTATCGCTCTCTGTATATCTGACTTTGCAATAACAATAAATAAATCTTTTAAAATTTTTTATTTATTCTTATTTGAAAGGCAGATTCACAAAAAGGAGAGACAGAGAGAAGGATTTTCCATCTGCTGGTTCACTCCTCAAATGACTGCAATTGCCAGAGCTTAACTAATCTAAAGCCACGAGCCAGGAACTTCCTCCAGGTCTCCCACGTGGGTGCTGGGACCCATACTTTGGGTCATCTTGTACTGCTTTCCTAGGCTTCAAGCAGGGAGCTGGATGGGAAGTGGAGCAGCCAGGATAGGAACTGGTGCCCATTTGGAATCCCGGTGAATAAAACAGGAGGATTTAGTACTAGGCTACCATGTCTGGGCCTTGCCACATTCTTCATTTTCTCCATTCCTTCCTTCCTTCCTTGCTTCCTTCCTTTCTTTCTTTCCTTCTTTCTCATCTTCCACACTTTACTTTCACCCCAGCATCCTGATAAAGGGCACCCTAAAGGCAGTGGGTGGTGACTCACTGGGTCCCTATCACTTGTGCAGGAGACCTGGACTGGGTTTGCAGTTCTTAGTTTACTCCTGGCCCAGCCCTGCTCATTGTGGCATTTGGAAAGTGAACCAGCAGGTAAAAATGCTTTCTCTCTTTCACTCAAATTAAAAAAAAATAAGTAAATAAGCAAACAGTGTGTTCAAAAGCATAGACTTAGGCCTGGCATGGTAGCCTAGGGCTAAAGCCCTCACCTTGCACGTGCCAGGATTCCATATGGGCGCTGATTCTAATCCAGGTGTCCCCGCTTCCCATCCATCTCCCTGCTTGTGGCCTGGGAAAGCAGTCAAGAACGGCCCTGCTAGAAGAGCTCCTGGCTCCTGGCTTTGGATCAGCCCAACTCCGCCCGTTGCAGGTCACTTGGGGAGTGAAATATCAGATGGGAGATCTTCCTTTCTGTCTCTCCTCCTCTCTATGTATCTGACTTTGTGATTAAAAAGAAATAAGTCTTTTTTAAAAAGTTTAAAAAAAAACAAACAAATAAAAAAAACAGACTTAGAGCAATATAAACTGATTTCACGTGCCAAGAATTAAAAGCTTGTTGAATTTACAAGAAAAGGAAACAAATTGCCATATCTGTCACTCGTGCACTTAGTGGCTGGATGTGAACTCAAACCTGTGTGTTTTCTTTTTCTAGCATCACACCTGTGCCTGACATCTGCTGTTTTTGTCTGATACTAGAGATTTGCCTTTGAAAGCGACCCTGTCTCACCACAGCTTGCATGGACACGTGCCCAAGCTTAGTGCATCAGAATACCACATCCTCCTCCCTGAATTAAGGTCATGACTGACAGACTCTGAGTCGTGAATCTTTGACTTCTGCCAGGACTTGCGGCTAATATGTGCTGTGTGTGTTGACCTTGAGAATCCAGATCAACGTAACCAAGGGGGATGAGGAGAGCGCTAGGATCAGCATCCAAGGGCATTCAACCTAGTGGCTAAGAGGCCAGTTAATTTTCCACCTCTCTTGTAGGAGAACCTGGTTCAAATCCCAGCGTGGCTTCTGACCCTGGGAGGGAGCAGTTGGGTCCTTGCCACCCCTGTGGGGGACCTGGATTGAGTTTCTGGCTCCCAGCTGAAGCCTCCACCCAGCCTCAACAGCTGTGGGTATTTGAAGAGTCAACGAGAGGATGTGAATGCTCTCACATATATGTGTGCATGTGTGTATATATATACATATGTACATAAATAACCTGTTTCTGTTTCTCAAGCAAATAAATAAAATTTTAAGACTTATTATTTTGGGATTAGTGCGGTAGCCTAGCAGCTAAAGCCCTTGCCTTGAACGCGCCAGGTTCCCATATGGGCGCCGGTTCTAATCCCAGCGGCCCCACTTCCCATCCAGCTCCCTGCTTGTGGCCTGGGAAAGCAGTCGAGGATGGCCCAAAGCTTTGGGACCCTGCCACCCGAGTGGGAGACCTGGAAGAAGTTCCTGGCTCCTGGCTTTGCTCGGCTCACCACCGGCTGTTGCGCTCACTTGGGGAGTGAATCATGGGATGGAAGATCTTCCTCTCTGTATATCTGACTTTCCAATAAAAATAAAAATAAATTTTTTTAAAAAGGAGATTTCTAACATCACTGAGTATTTAATTCAACTCCTACGTCATTTTATTGTATGAGCCAAAAAAATTCTCCAGATGCTCTATTTTCAATGCAGTTTCCTACTAATGCCTCCTGAGAGGCAGATGATGGTCCAAGTGCTTGGGCCCTACCACCCACACAGGAGGACCCCTAGCTTGGGCCTTTCTAGCTGTTGCTGGTCTTTAGAACATGAACCAGCAGGTAGAAGATTCTCTCTCTCTTCCTCTTTTAATAAAGATTTATTTTTTATTGAAAAGTCAGATTTACAGAGAGGAGGGAAAACAGAGAGGAAGATCTTCCATATGATGATTCACTCCCCAAGTGTCTGCAATGGCCAGAGCTGAACCAATCCGAAGCCAGGACCCAGGAGCCTCCTCCGGTTCTGCCATGTGGGTATAGGGTCCCAAGGCTTTGGGCCGAACTTGACTGCTTTCCCACGCCACAGGCAAGGAGCTGAAAGGAAAAGAGGGTGAGGATTTTAAGCCCTAAATTACTGCGCAGGGCTCTAGAAGATTCTCTTTTTCTGTCACTTTGCTTTTCAAATACATGAGAAAATAAATGACCCAAACGAAAGAAA